GGGGCAGTTCTACTTATACCCTACAGGGTCGGAATCCTAACAGGTTTTCTCAAGACTTAATCTTTCTATTTAAAGGCGCTGCATTTCCCCATGTGGTTCTGATCTTTTCTTTGCAGGTGAAGGTATGTATATACACCAGAGATCAGGCGAAGGAAATTAGCACCCTCAGCTCTTCTGTCAAGAAATATTGAGCACCAACAGTAGCGCATCATGCCCTGCGGGGAATATGCTAGGCCCTGCTGGCAAGAATCGCGAGGCTACAGAACCTCAGCGATTAACATTAGAATAAAGAAAGCGGAAGGGGCCGTGGGAAGATTAGGGACGAGGTTGTTGCGTTAGATCATTAACTCTCTCTGAGGAACAGAAATGCAGTCATGAATAATCCATGGCCCCTGCCCCCGAGGATCTGGAGTCGGTAACATTTTAATTTGGACCATTTACACTTCAGTATGAACTGAGACAGGGCCATTTTTTGCAGAACTGGGAGAAAAGAGTGCCTGAGCTCACGGCGCCAGCGGTGCGCGGTGAAGTCAACGAAGACCGGGGTGGAGGGAAGGATGGAGGTTCCCTTTTTCTGCAACTCATTTTAAGTCCTACTGCGACCCCTGGACTTCACTGCGAGAACGGCGGCCTCAGTATAACTGCCTCCCCACACCCAACCCAACAGCTTCCAAGCCCGGTCAACTGGGAGCTGGGAGGGGCGAAGCGCGAAGGACGGGGTCAGCACGGCCAGCTCATTAGTGGGCAGCCTAGCCTTAGGCCATCTCATCGCGAGAACGCGGAGACCTGCGGGCAGCGCACGCGCAGATCTGTCATGCTGAACCTTAAGCCCCGCCCTTCGCTCGCGGGCTCTCGGGATGTTTGTTGTTACCATGGAGTCTCGAGCGGCAGGCGAAGTCGGCTTGTGGCCCGGGCAACCGGGGAGGAAGGAGCTGGACCGAGCGGGCGCGGGTAGTATTGGCTGCGATGGTGTCCAACCCGGTGCATGGCCTGCCCTTCCTCCCGGGCATGTCCTTTAGGGACCCCACGGTGAGGACTCATCTGCCCGACCTCCACCTGTCCCCACCTTCCGGCAGCTTCGGGGTCTCTCCGCTTAGTGCTCCTCCAATTCTCCCCAATCCGGGCCTGTCCTTTCCAAACCCGTCATCTGCCCCAACCCTGTTCTTATTTTCCGCCGCAGTTCTGCCGTCCTCCAACCAGAATTATCCTTCTCTCTGCCCTTTTCTTTCTTCCCTCTAACCATTTCTTCAGTTTTTCTACGCCACCTTGGCAGTGTCTCCACCCGCCCTCGTTCTCATTGCCTTCGACGCGTACTTCCTTGCTCCTCTGTTCCTCTACTCCCTCCTGCTTCTCCCTCTAGATTACTCCTTTCCCCACTTCACTCCCAGATTCTCTCCAGGCCCTTTCCCTACCTCATTCTCCCACACCATATCCTGTCTCTCCCCAGCTCCATCCTTAACCCCCCTAACCTCGGCTTTTCTCCACCCTCATCCTCATTTCCACAGCCCTATCCTACCTACACCCCCCGACCCATCGTTCCGGCGCCACCCCTTCCTCTTCTGGATCCTGGACTCAGTAATCTCTCCCACCCCCAGCTCCGTTTCCTGTCTTTATAGCTTTTCCACTCATTCTCTTCTTTCTGCCAGGCCCTTTTCCGCAGTCTCCGCCCATCTTAATTATGCTTCTACCCAACCTAATCCCATTTCTGCCCTGCACTTCTGCCTTTTGTACAGTCTAGTCCCACCTCTCCCCATCCTTGTTTTATCTTCTTTCTCGATTACTGATTCTCAGATAGTTAGACTTTCAACCCTTGCCCATCTTCCTCTCTGCTTTAAAGGTGATATTTCATTCCAGTTCCCCCAACCACAATTGATTAGTTGCTCTAACTTTGTTCTCACCCTAACATTTTTTCTGTAAAACTTCTTTTTAGATTTTGTTTTTCTTCTCCCTGCAACCTTAAATGTTTCCTGTTGCATTCTCTAGACAAAATTGAAAAACAAAAAGAAAGCCTGGGCTCTTTTTTTTCTCCCGACATAGTGTAACCCTTGGCAAAATAGTATTTGTTTTAATTCTAACAGTGTTGCTGAAATATACATTCTGGAAGGTCAGTATTTGAGATTCAGTAGGCAGTAGGCTGATGATCATCGATGAGCCAACAACAATTTGTTTATATACTTTAATAATTTGTAAGTTCCTCTCTACAGTCATAAAGTTAAGGTAAAATATTTAGTCGATTTGTTTTCTTTGGGAGAATGAATTTAAATTTAAATAATTTAAATTGAAAATTTGGTCAGGGAATTTGGATTCTCAGTCTCACAATTATTTCTGTATTAAGACACAGCATCATAGATTTTTAGTTTCGGTGGACTTTTCAGTTTTACTGGAGCCCTGATGGCACAGTGGTTAAGAGCTTGGCTGCTAACCAAAAGGTCGGCGGTTAGAATCCACCTTGGAAACCCTATGGGGTAGTTCTACTTTGTCATATAGGGTTGCTATGAGTTGGAATTGACTCGATGGCAACAGACTTTTTAGTTTTATGTGGAGTCCCTGGGTGGTACAAATGGTTAACATGGGCTGCTAAGCAAAAACTTGGAGGTTTGAGTCCACCCAGATGTGTCTTGGAAGAAAGGCATGGCAATCCACTGTGAAATCAGCCACTGAAGACCCTGTGAAGCACAGTTCTACCCGAACACACATGGGATCTCTGTGAATCAGAATCTACTCAGTGCAGCTGATTTTGGTTTTATGTAATTTAGAAAATGTTGTAGGCAATTTCCTGTCCCATGAAGGAGCATACTAATGCATGTTGGGAAGTGTGGGTTATTTAAGAGGCACGGTTAAATTGATTTGGAGGATTACAGAGGTGTGGACTAGAGTTGCCAGGCTTTGAGGATATATATTGCTGTAGTACAAATAAGATAAACTGCACTGGGCATAGTAGTGAAATACAAAATTGAGTTAGAGTAATTTGTGATTCCAGCTGTCATTTAGTGGATAGTTGGACTAGTAAACTTTGGTCCTAGATTTTTTATATTTTAAGTAAACTGTCAGCCAATTTACTTTATTTGAAGTTTGAAAAATGTGTTTGCTGTATCTTCAGCAGTGAAGGACTAGGTATATGTAAGTCTAAAGGCATTCAGAAGGTGAACCCTTATTGAAGAAGAGGGTTGGGGAGGGCTGAGTTTGCATTTGCCTGGGGGTGCTGTAAGGGTCCACTAATAAAAATCAAATAGCTGAATGAGGAAAGTGCACTGAAGCAGCTGATATTGCTTCTGTCATTAGAAGTGGAAGAAAAGGAGCCTGAAGTTACACAAGTTACCCAGTGAGGAAGTTATCTCAGCCTATTTCATTTTATGTCATGTATGCTATGCACCTGGGGCAGCTCCTGTCACCTGTGATCGACCGTGTCTGTTGATCCTGAATTTGTGACCCTTAAGTCCACAGACAGTAATTTTTTAGCAAAAAAAGTTTAATCCATTGTACCTTTCATATTAGTACAGATCTTAAAAGATGGTAGGCTGGCCTACAAAGAAATTAGGAGGTAAGCACGTATTAGTCTTTTTATCCCCCCCAGAATTTTATGATTCATTGTAAGTTGTTTATATCTATGCATATATATACACATATAATTTGGAAAGTAAATAAAAAAAAATTCCATCAAACTGAATACAACCTCCAATATTCATTTCCAGTCTTTTTTCTCTTAATCTTTTATGTTTTCCAATTACCTATAAAAATGTGTTCATTATAAAAAAGTAACCTAATTCTGAAATGTATAATACAGACAGACTTACATTCCACAAATCCAGTCTCTTTTCATGCATATGTTTGTATAATTGTATTTGTAATACACATATAACCTAATATACTGCTTTTTTGAGCCTATTAAGTCATAAACGTTTTTCCCAGGTTGCTGCAAGTTCTTTAAAACTAATTTTTTTTTATTGTGGTAAGTATATAGGTAACAGAACATTTACCATTTCTACAGTCTTCACATGTATAGTTCAGTGACATTAGCTACGTTCATCATGTTCATCTGTCACCATTAGCCGTTAAAACCAATATTTTAATGTCTGCAAAATAGTCTGTTGAGTGAGCCATCATTCACTCGCATCTTCATATGATTTTTGTCTTTTAGATCGTTTCCAGCATTTTACTGTGGTAATTAACATTGTAATGAGCAGCTTTAGGCATATAGTTTTTCCCCATAATTTTGGATTACATCCTTAAAATAGATTATCAGGGTAGAATTATTGAGTTCAGGACTTTAAATATATAATATTCAGTTGCTTTCCGAAGAGTTATATGAATGTACCTGTTACTGTAACAAGAAGGGCTTTTCATTTTAGCTAAAAATAAAATTCACAGAACCAGATATTCTAGATTCCATTTCATAAGCATCAGATAAGATGAAAAGCATGGGAAGACTAGTAAAAAATTAAGAATGTTGATGAAATAATATTTTAGTCCTGTGAAAGGTGAACTAATAATTAAATTGACTATTATAGAGCAGAGCTTTAAATTTTAAGCCTAGGCCACTGCTTCCCTCTTTTCTGGCCAAGTTTTTTTAGTTTAAAATACAAGAACCTTTTAATGTTGGTAAACTTTTTGATGTGTTTTGTGATGTTTATAAGCAGAGGTTTAAGTTTTTTTTTAAGTTAGCTCTTTTATCTAACAAACATGTTTATGATTATTAATGGCATTTCTTTTCTTCAGAAAACAGCGTTCCATAGAAGCCAGACACTGGGCTACAGGAATGGCTATGCAGTTGTTCGACGTCCAACAGTTGGGATAGGCGGGGACCGGCTCCAGATCAACCAGCTATCCCAGGCTGAGCTGGATGAGTTGGCCAGTAAGAGGCCAGTACTAACTTATGGCCAACCTAAGCAGGCCCCACCTGCTAATTTTATTCCTGCACATGTGGCTTTTGACAAAAAGGTATTGTCTGGGATTTTAGGGTACACCTTAAATTCAGGTTTCTGAGAGCCAGCTGCTGCAGAAAAATTAACAGTAAAGCACAGATTTCCCAGAGTACTCTGAGGAAAAAATTGCTCAAATGCCTCAACCCTTAGTCACAGACAGCTGGACTGAAGATTGAAAGAGGCTTTCTTTAGTCAGGAAGCCGATTACAGAAAGTAAATATAAGAAATTCCATGTAGACTTCAGTGGAATATTTTCCAAATACAGTTAAAGAAAAGTTGGGTGAGTTCTGAATTCTTGAGTTTGTATTGCTCTCTGTGTACCTGCTCTGCGTTTTTCGCTTCTTAAAAGTACTATATTCTGTAATGATGACAAATCCTTAATCACTATGAAATATAAAGTATCATCATGGAAAAAAGAAAAAAGACTCTATTGTCAGTTTTCTCCAGACTGTCTCCATAAGTTTTGTTTTTCAGGCAACATTTCAGGTTTGTCATAACATAACCAAGAGGTGATATAACATTTTTGTTTATTTGTTTCTCATTTACCCTTAAGTTTGGTAATGTAAGTTGTCTTATTTCCATCTGCTGACATTTGCACATCATCCTTGCTTTCCCTTGACAGTAAGCCTCCTCTTTTCTCTGAGATGAAGTAGTTCTAACCCTAGACATGCAGCAGAATCAATGGTGGGACTTTTAAGAAACTCAGATGTCGCCTCAACTCTCATCAATTCTAATTTCCAGGTGATTCGTTTGTAAAACTGGGTGCAAGAACTATTGACCAGTTTTTATATTAGCTTTCTTAATTTACACCTAGCCTGTTTTCTTCTTTTTGGTCTTAATTTTCATTTTATTATTTCTATGAAATGTCTAACATTTGTATCCATTCAGTCAACCTTTATTGAGTGCCTGCTGTAAGCTGGTGGTGTAGTGGTTAAGAGCTCAGCTGCTAACCAAAAAGCCAGCGGTTCGAATCCACCAGCCACTCCTTGGAAACCCTGTTGGGCAGTTCTACTCTGTTCGATAGGGTCACTATGAATCAGAATTCACTTGACAGCAAAGAGTTTGTTTTTTTTTTTGGTTTATTGTAAGCTAGAGGCTGGGAGATACAAAATAATCTGGTAGAAGAAATATGCCTTTGAAATTAATAATCCTTTTTTTGAATATATATATTAACCAAAATCCACATCATCTCTTTCCCGTCTCATTTTGGCTTATTTGATAGGAACATGTTCACACATCCATTCTCAGGCTAACCTTAAACATCCACTAGACAATATAAATGATATATTGGTGGTTTCTTTACCTTTTTCTTGTTTCTCTTATTCACAGCTGCAATAGGCACTGGATATTCAGTAGAGAAGTGGGGGAGGGATGAAAATACAAGAGAAGAGTAGGATAGGCATTAACAGTTTACGAAGATGTAAATCCTGGTATGTACAATTTTTACTGAAAAGAATAGCAAATAACTATTATAAGGTAGAAAATGATAAACTGATAATGTGTCATAAGAAAGTGTTAACGAAATTTAGAGAAGGAGAAATAGTGCCTGAGCGAGTAGGAAATAGGCTTCCTATTTTTTGTTTTCCTGTGTTTTATACTAATTATCGTTACTTAATTTATACTCATTTAATATTTTCACAATTCATTTCTTTAAGAATAATGGACATGAAGAATATTATTTGTATTTATATTTTCCTGTTCATTTTACTTGAATCTTCTGGGTAAATGATCTTTAGCATAGATAATAAGGTAGATAGTACTTCAGTGCATAGTTTTGAAACTAAGTTTTTCTTTTTTGCAATAAGGGAATTACACTTTTTCTGAATTAAATCAGAGTTCACAGTTTTTTAGGAATACTTGGAGATCCACTTAATTGCCAACATATTTGTCCATATTTTCGACATTCTGTGAACTGTTTCTCATCCTCAGAATATACCTGGCAATTTTACACATTTCTCTAGTAAGCTTGCTTTTCCTACTCTCCAGGACAGCTCATACCTTCTTCTATCCCTCAAATCTCTGCTGTCTGGCTTTTGTCTTCCCCAGTTTGTCAGATCTTGTCACTAGTAACTTCTTTGTTAACAAATCCAATGGATGCTTACTCTGTCTCAACAGAATTTGATGTAGTTGACACTTTCTTGGCTTATATGATATCACACTCTTCATTTTTCTCCTGTCTACCTTTCTGACCACTCTTTCTCCATTTTCTTTGCAAGCTTCATTTCCCCCTTTCAGACTTTAGAATTCAGACTTCCTCTGGGTTTGTTCCTGGGTCTCCTTCTCTTCGTTCTGTACTTTATGTCTAGCCCTAACCTTACGTTTAAGCCCCCATTTCAAAAATACACCTGCGTCACTTGGATTTAGCGTGTTAAAAATCATGAGTCATGATCACCTTCCCCAAACCTACTTCTTTTCCAGTTGTAATCAACACAGTGAATGTTACCACTATCCACTCAGCTGCTATAGCCCCCAACTTAAAAGTCATTTCTGATTCTTCTCTCCCTCACAGCCAATCTGCTGATAAACTCTGTCATTTCTGCCTCTAAAATATATCACTGATATGCCCACTATTTCCACCTCCACCATTACTATTAATTCATTTTCCAGAGAGCATCCTGCCTTACACAGTGAAACCTGTGAGAGCTAGAGCTCGACAGGACTGACTTGTTTTTCTGAGTCTCTCAGGTTTTCCACCTTTGACAGGGTGGAGTCTTACCACTTTCCTGTTGCTCTGTATTAGTGGAAAACATTTGAATTTTCCTTCTCTGACAGGTTTCGGCCTTTCACAGGTTCCAGCTTTTGTAGGTTTTACTGTATTTTAAAAATAAATTTCAGTTTATGTCACATCCTGACCTAAAACACTTCCGTGGCTTCCCCATCGTATATAGACTAAGATCAAACTCTACCGGGCCCTCACATCCCTACTGGACCCGCCCCTGCATGCTATTTCTTCAACTTCATCTTTGGGTGCTTTCCTCACCTACAGCGTTCTTCCGTCACACTGGATTTATTTTACTTATTTCCTTGAAATTGCAGCGACCTCCCATCCCCCCCACCCAACTTCAGGACCTTTGCACATGATGTTCCCCCTACCTGGAATAGCATTTTCTCCACCCTTCAGTGGCCGACTCCATCTCATCCTCCAGTGTGGCTTACATGACATCTCCTAGAGGCTGCCCTGCTAAGGAAGTCCCTCTCTGTTTTTCTCTATCACTTCCTTTTCTTCATAGACTTATATTAAAATTTATTGCTGATTTGTTTGTTTGTCTGTCCTACCTGATTATATACTTCATGAGAGCAGGGACTTGTCTACTTTATTCTGTAACGAGTGCTCAGTAAACATTAGTTGAAAAATGAGTAATTATTTAACAAATAAAATTAATGTATTGTCTGTGTCACTGCTGAAAACCGATGAGCTGAACAGGTAAAACACACAGTGAAATAAAAATGAAAAGTATAACTAGGCTTTTTATAATTGTGTGTGATAGGAAAATTTATTCAGCATGTCCCCCCTCAATCTTGAAGTAAATGCAAGTATTTCCATGTTTATTGTGGCATTCTGAGATCTTCCTGGGAGTAAGGAGACTTGGGTTCTAATTCTGATTCTTCTCCTAACTAGCTTTCTGACCTTTGAGAGTCACAATCTCTAGTTTCCTCATCCATAAAATCAGAAGGTTAGAATATGTGATAACTAAAATCCCAGCCAACTCTAAAATTCCTTGAAGAGCGCATTTCAAAACATAGTGTCTAAATGTTATGCTCTTTTCCTTCCTTTCTATGTAATACAGGTCTTACTCTACCTAGGAAAGCAAATGTTATCCTAATTGTTGAAGAACTTTCAAAGAGCGTCTTGTGGATTTGAACTGCTGACCTTTGGGTTAGCAGCCAAGCTCATAACCACTCGTCACTAGGCTTCCTTCCTACATTAACTTCTTCCCTAGTCATTTCTTTGTGGGAGGAGCATAGAACTGTTAATTTTATTCTTGACAACCTAAAAGAATAAAACAAGTACTTTTAAGTTAGATTACGCTTTACCTGAGACCTCACATACTGGCTTGGCTCTCTGTAACATGAATTACATGTTGAAAATATGTAGTTTTGGCGGTATGTGTTGATAATATGCTAGAGGAAACTGAAGTTCTTTATTGGACAAGCTGATACATACTAAATGATTAGAGAAGGATACAGACAAAAAACTTCTAGAGGGTGTTTTTAATTCCCATTTATCCAAAGAACTTGAGAATTTATTGCACCAGTTAATAGTTTCCTAGACTATGTACCAAAATACCATACTTAGTAATCAGTTACTTCTTTTCTCTACAGAATCTGAAAGTACTAAAATGAATACAAAGCCAAAATTGAGCTGTATATTATTTAATCTTTTTTTGTTTCAAAAGAAATTTTTGGATTTTACAAAATGATTTTGTAGTTAAAATTCAGTACTATAGATGCACAAAGATAAGTGATTAGAATTAATCTGTACTATCTGGGGTGCAATGGTTAAGAACTCGGCTGCTAACCGAAGGGTTGGCAGTTCAGATCCACCAGCCACTCCTTGGAAACCCTACAGGACAGTTCTACTCTGTCCTATAGGGTCACTATGAGTCAGAATGGACTTGATGGCAACGAGTGTGGTTTTTGGTTTTATCATATGGCATAGTCTAGAATGTTTTAAAATAACTCATTGTCATTTGGATTTTTTTAAAAATAGAATACAAAAGTCTGCTTACATTCACACTCTTCCTGCCTCCCATTCTGAGGCCAAATTCCTGTTGCCACAGGCATTTTCATCCACTTCTCCAATCTTAAAAAACAGACCGTGAAGGAACAAAGGTGTGTCCCAGGGCTGCCTAGTCTTTGATCTTGTTCTCTGCTTATACTTACTCCTTCAGTGACCTCATCCAGACTCAAGGCTTGAAATGCTCTCTATGATAATGAGCTCTTCTCTGAATTCCAGACTGGTATATGCAACTGCCTATTTGACATCTCCTCTTGACTATCTAATAGATATCTCAGACTCCTAATTCTGCCCTCTCTCCCAGCTCACAAATCTGCTCCACTGCAGTCTTCTTCATATCAATTTGGTGGCAATTCCATCCTCCCAGTTGCTTGGGCCAAAAATTTTGGAGTCATCCTTGACTATTCTTTCTCTCATCCAATCCTTCAGGAGATCACTTGTCTTTATCTTCAAAATTTAACCAGAATCCAACACTGCTGCACCCTCTACTACTACTCAGGTTTAAGACACCATTATTTGGCCTGGGTTATTTCAGTAGCCTTCTAGTTGGTTTCCCTGTTTTAATCCTAGCCCCTACCCCAGCAGTCTGTTCTCAACAGAGCAGCCAGAATAATCCTTTTAAAAGCACAAGACTGATAATGTCATATTCCATCTCCTAGCATTGTATTTGACAGATGCCTTTGTCTACATTTAGGGCATCATCAAATCCTCGCCTCTTATTTCCTCTTTATAGCAACTTTCTATACAGGTATACCACAAAGCCATTTCTCTAGTATTGACTTCTTTCCCAAAGTCCAGTCCTGAATCTCACCTTGCCCCCTGCTATATCAACTTGTGCTGACACTTAAATTCAGTAAGTCTGAAATCAGGCTCAAATCAAGTTCACCATCTGCCCTACCAAAATAATCTTCTCCTCCTTATGTCTCTGCTTCTATGAGTGTCACCACTATATTCCCAGCACCATGTTCTCGGTGCCTCATCTGGCTTCCATCGTACTACTTCTTCACTATCAGTCCAATCAGACTTCTTTTGTTTTTCCGTTGCTGGAAATTTATTACTCCAGACCTGGATTATTGCAGGGGCTTTCAATCTGATTATCATGCCTAGCACCTCCCTTCTCTACTATAGCCTGCATACTGCTGCTGGATTTCCCTCCTCTGCTTTGGTTCTTCCCGTTACCTGGTATCCCTTCTTCCCTCTGCTTATTTAAATTCTTCCCACTCTTCAAAGTCTAATATATCTACATCCTCTCATTAAACTTTCTCTGACCACTTTAGCCCACACAGATCCCTTTTATGAACCATTATGTTGTTATTGCTGGGTGCCATCGAGTCGATTCCAACTCATAATGACCCCAAGTGACAGAGCAGAACTGCCCCATAGTTTTCTTGGCTGTAATCTTTACAGGAGCAGATTGCCAGGTCTTTGTCCTGGAGAGCTGCTGAGTAGGTTGGAACTTCCAACCTTTTGGTTAGCAGCCAAGCACTTAACCATTGTGTCCTATTATCTAAGAAGTAGTGAGGTGTGTGGAGAGAACATTGGGCTGTGAGTTTGCAGTCTGAGACTCAGTCGCACCTCTGCCCCAACCACCTGTATGACCTCAGTCAAGCCATTTTATCACCCTGGGTCTCATTTTCCTCATTTGTAAAATGAAGGGCTTGGATTTGCTGATCGCTTCTGGTTCTGTCATTTTGTGTATCTATAAATATGTGGCGCAGATATAGCCTATTTCATATATGAGTTATTGCAATCATGTCTCCCCTTTCAATTTTTGCATTTAATCTAAAATGTTACTTAAACTCTTTGTCTTTTGCTTTTACCATGTTATTTTTCTCCTCTGAATATTCCATTGCATTCATCCATTTCTTTATTATGTGTTTTAAGGCCTTCACTCCATTATATTCATATTTCTCTTATACAGTTGCCCGTTTTTGCTCTCTTTTTAAAAGAGACCATTACCAGTGGAAAAATCTAAATCGAGAAGTTTAAAGATCTAAATTGGTAGAATTCTTGCCTTCCATGCAGGAGACCCAGGTTCAATTCCCAGCCAGTGCACCTCAAGCGTAGCCCCCGCTCATCTGTCGGTGGAGGCATGTGTGTTGCTATGATGCTGAACACATTAAACATCATACGTTTTTTAGCAATGGCTCTCAATGTATGGAATTATTTCTTCTTCCCATCATTGAGCTGTATTTATGTCTTCATTTTAGATCCTCGCTGGTTTCTTTCTTTTATTCTACTAGAGGTGGCAGTGAACACCCTTGCCTAACTAAAATGTCATTCTGGCATCTCCCCTTGAACAGAAAATTAAAATTAATTCCGAAGCATGTCAACATAATACTTTTTTTTTTAAATTTGTGCTTTAGGTGAAAGTTTACAGAGCAAATCAGTTTCTCATTAAACAGTTAATACACAAATTGTTTTGTGACATTGGTTGCCAGCGCTCCGATGCGTCAACACTCTCCCCTTCTTCACCCCGGATTCCCTGTTTCCTGTCCCTTCCTGCCTTCTTGTCTTTGCTTTTGGGCTGGTATGCCCAGTAGTGTCGTATACATGATTGAACTACAAAGCGTGTTCCTCACATGTGTTATTGTTGTCCTTATAGACTTATCTTTGTCCGAAAGGTGAACCTCAGGAGTGACTTCAGTACTGAGGGTCCGGGAGCCATACCCTCGAGGTTTCTCCAGTCTCTGTCAGACCAGTAAGCCTGGTCTTGTTTTATGTGTGTGTGTGAATTTGAATTTTGTTTTACATTTTTCTCCTGCTCTGTCCAGGACACTCTATCATGATCCGTGCTAAAGCAATCGGTGGTGGTAACTAGGCACTGTCTAGTTGTTCTGGGCTCAATCTGGTGAAGGTTGTAGTAGTTGTCGTTCTTAACGTATACTTTTTATAATACCTTTGGGTATTATATTTTTAAAAATATAAATGTATGTACCATTGTGACTCTGCATTGGTGCTCCCCACAGGACTGAGGGTTTGCTGTGTATATCATGTTTCTGCGCGCAGTGACAATAACTTACATGCCCTCCAAAGATTCTATAATGAATTGATGATTTGAAAGTCATTCATAAAAAATGTATAAGAATGAATGTGTCATTAATATGTGTTTACAAGGGACTCCACTTCTAAGGAAATTGTTTTCATTTTGAAACCAAAGATCACAGTCTCATCCAAATTTGTTACTCTTTTCAGAAGTTCTAGGAAGAATTTTTGACATGGAAGTGAAGTTAGTAGTGTTAAGATATTTTAGACCATCTCACCAAGGAACATGCACAGTAAATGGACTACACATGATTTGAGTATTTAGAGCACAGATAAGCAAACTTTCTTTAAAGACCCAGATAGTAAATATTTAGGCTTTGCAGCCCATACAGTCTCTATCACAAGTACTCAACTCTGCCCTTGTAGTGTAAAAGTAGCCATTAAAAAAAATGTGATTGTGTTCCAATAAAACTTCATTTGTGGATACTGAATTCAAATTTCATATAATTTTCATGTGCCATGAAATATTCTTATTTTTATCTTTTCAACCATTTAAAAACATAAAAACCATTCTTGGTTCACAGCTCATACAAAAACAGGTGGTAGGGTAGATTTGGCTCATGAACCATAGTGTGCCAACCCCTGATTTAGAAGATAGAAGTGATGAGTATTTAAATCTTCTGTGCAGTTCTCTTCACAGGAAGTTTGTTGTTGTTTTTTTAATGAGAAACTAATACAACACCGTTTCTTTGTGTGTTGTAGGTGCTGAAATTTGATGCCTATTTCCAAGAAGATGTCCCTATGTCAACTGAGGAACATTATAGGATCCGTCAAGTGAGCATTTACTATTATCTAGAAGATGACAGCATGTCTGTTGTAGAGCCTGTCGTGGAAAATTCCGGGATCCCTCAAGGCAAGTTAATCAAACGCCAGCGGCTAACCAAGAATGACCGAGGAGACCATTACCATTGGAAAGATCTAAATCGGGGAATAAACATCACAATTTATGGCAAAACCTTCCACGTTGTCGACTGTGACCGATTCACACAGGTATACGATACAATTTTGGAAGTTGTGGCATCATTCTAATGTATAGAAGGATATGTTTACCTTATCAGAGTAAGAGGGGAGCTGGGTCATCTGTTCTATATGAATATTATACAGATAGACTTAGTATTTATGTGTTTGCTGATACCTGACAGTACTATGTAGTGACGTCACTTTTTTCACAATGATATTGGTACATTTCCACTCAAATAAAATTAAACTCTCATCATAGCTGAATTATTTAATAAGAAACTAATTCTCATGCCAATTCAAATAGAGACTAGGGGAGGAGGTACCCCTAATAGTGTGGAAGTATAGAATAGGTATTGGACAATTTATCTGAAGTTTGGGTTTACAAAGCCCTGGTGACACAGTGGTTAAGCACTCAGCTGCTAACAAAAAGGTTGATAGATCAAACCTACCAGCTGTTCTGTGGGAGAAAGATGCAGCCTGCTTTCGTAAAGATTTACAGGCTTGGAAGCCCTATGGGGCAGTTCTGCTGTGTCCTATAAGGTTCCTGTTCATCGGAATCAACTCAACAGCAATGGATTTGGTTTACAATAATAGTTCTACCTCTGTAGCCTACATATGAGCCTAAAAGTTTTTGTGCAGTCCATTTTTTTTTTTTTTTTTGTAAATCGTACTTGCTATATTCTAGGGGAACTTCCTATATAAAGGATTCTTGAAATAAAACCATTTTTCAAGTGAAAAACTTTTTTTTATATATTCATAAAAATTCTCCACTTTATTTCATAAATTTGGATTTTTTTTAATACTAAGTTAACTTAAAGTGAGATTATGTGTGTGTATATGTATATGTACATATATAATATACATACATATATGGGCAGTGGTGGTTCAGTGGTAGAATTCTTGCCTTCTATGCAGGAGACCCAGGTTTGATTCCCAGCCAACGCACCTCAAGTGTAGCCACCACTCATCTGTCATTGGAGGCTTGTGTGTTGCTATGATGCTAAACAGGATTCAGCAGAGCTCCCAGACTAAGACACAGTAGTAAGAAAGGCCTGACGACATACTTCTGAAAAGTCAGCCAGTGAAAACCCTATGGAACACAATGGACCGATCTCATTGTGCATAGGATTGCCATGAATCAAAGCTGATTCCACGGCAGCTAACAACAAATACACATACTCAGACACACACACACACACGCTCTTTAGCACAAAAATGTAGGTATTTGGAAATTAATCCCAAACTTGTCTTCATTAAAAAAATTTTTTCTAGAAGCAAACATATAGTTGTTTTATGGCCTTTATCCTATAGAGAAAAACTCATTAACAACCTGCAATATGTAGAGGATACGAACTTGCTTGTTGAAAGTGAAGAGGACTTGAAGCACTTACTGATGAAGATCAAAGACTACAGCCTTCAGTACCTCAACATAAAACAAAAATCTTCACAACTGGACCAATAAGCAACATCGTGATAAACAGAGAAAAGATTGAAGTTGTTAAGAATTTCATTTTACTTGGATCCACAATCAATGCCAATGGAAGGAGCAGTCAAGAAATCAAACGACATGTTGCATTGGGCAAATCTGCTGCAGAAGACCTCTTTAAGTGTTCAAAAGCAAAGATGTCACTTTGAGGACTAAGGTATGCCTGACCCAAGCCATGGTATTTTCAGTCGCCTCATATGTATGCAAAAGCCAGACAGTGAATAAGGAAGACAAGAAGAGGTGATGCCTTTGAATTATGGTGTTGGTGAAGAATATTGTATATAACCGTGGACTGCCAGAAGAACAAACAAATCTATCTTGGAAGAAGTACAGCCAGAATGCTCCTTAGAAGCAAGGATGACGAGGCTATGTCTCCCATTACTTTGGACATGTTATCAGGAGAAATCAGTCCCTGGAGAAGGACATCATGCTTGGTAAAGTAGAGGGTCATCAAAAGAGATGAAGATCCTCAACGAGATTGATTGACACAGTGGCTGCAACAATGGGCTCAAACACAGCAACAATTGTGAGGATGGCACAGGACCGGGCAGCGTTTCATTCTGTTGTACGTGGGGTCACTATGAGTCTGAATTGACTTGGAGGCACCTAAAAACAATGGCCTAATGCCAAATGTGATTAATTTTTGCCATGTACTAAGTTCCTATGAATTTATTCATTGATTTTTTTCATTTAGTAATTTATTCAACAAATATTTATTGAGTGTCTGCTGTGTGCCTGGTACTGGTCTAGGTCCCAGGGATACAGACTTGCCCTTGTGGAGATTACATTCTGGTTGGAGGAGACAAGCAATAAATACATAAATATATAATATGTCAGATGGCAAAAAGAGCAATGGAGAAAACTAAAACACAGTAAAGGGGATGAGAGTGGGTGGGTGCTATTTATAAAGGGTGGTCAGAGAAGGCCTCACTGATGAGATGACGTTTGAACAGACACCTGAAGGAACTGAAGAAAGGAGCCACGGCACCAGTGCCATCCTAAAGCAACAGAGAAAAGCAATATAGATGGCAGAGGTGCTAGACTATATTGTAGATATTATCCCATCCAAATGTGTTTTGATCTCTCACTTTTTAGGATTCTGAGGTCTGTTTATCACAGGCAGTTTCAGAACTGTTAAATCAACAGTAAGAAATTATAAGATGTTATATAAATTTAAAGTATTACAATTATTCTGTGGTTGTATCTTTATGGACAATTTGAATATTTTCAAGTAAATCATTGAGCAGTTGATCTAATCCAGTTATTTTAGTGACTGATATTTGACCAGAGCTGTGTATTTCAGGCACTGATGACTACATTGAATTATGTTTTCTACAATTGATCTGTTGGGTCGGAAGTTGGCTACTATAACAGTTTAAAATTTACGCATATAGTAGTCCTATCTAATTCAGTGTTCTTCATTAGGGCTGGAACTATGGGGAGTAAAGATAGCTGTCTTTCTGGTGTGATTTGAACCAGGAAGCAGCTTTACTCAAATATATCACTACTACCACCTCTCCTTGCCCACTCCTCACTACCCCAAATAAATGCTTAGTCCTACAGACAGTTAACTGAACACATTAAAATAAAGCCCCACAGATCAGAGATGCTAGAATTTATTATTTTTGTTAAAGTATTACTGCTCCTATAGCAGATATGATTCCTATACTACGAAAGTAGATGTGCAAAAAATATTATTTAAAAAAAAATAACACTTGACCCCCAATCCAATGGGCTGGTGTTTCTCTTTACTCTCAGCTTTGCCAAAGATTCCAAGCCCTAAGAACAATAAGGAAGCAGTAGAATTTTCAGGCCTAAAGTGTTCATACAGACAGGGCCCATAGGCAATAACAGTGTGGACTGTAGTCTAATGTCAAGGGCACCTCCCTGATGCTTTGTTGCTAGGTGAGATCCTGGGGCTTGGCCTGAGACTGAATGTTCCTCACTCGGGCTGCGCGTGTGCTCTGAGCAGCGCCACAGGGCATCTGTCAGGTCCTGCTCTTCTGAGACCAACCTGCCTCTGTTTTCCAGTCTGAGGGAATTTCCTCTCTGCTTGCCCTCAAAGGCATTCCCTTCTCTCTCCTCCTCCTTCTGGGATACTGTAAAATTATCTCTTCAAAGGGTAGGTTTTTCTAAAACACAAGAAAACAGTTGACTTCAGGAAGTTTCTATATTCCTGTCAAATCTCTAAGGTAAAGTTAACAAAAGGCCTGATTATCTATCTGTTTGAATCAACAGAAGGGAGTAAAACATTCACTAATACCTCAGCCAGTAATCCTGCTACACTCATCCACCATCTCAAGGGAAAGGAGAATTTTATTGTTAAGTCATTATCTCCAGGTCAGCTGTTTTAATAGAGGTTAAGACCATAATATTTTTATACTGAAAGGATGTTGGAGACTGCCTAGTAAAACCCTAAATACTAAGATCACAAGCTAGTTAGCAGCAATGCTAATAATAGAACCAAACGTTTTGGCCTTGAGTTCTGTATATTTTCTGTTGAATTGTCCAAAAAGCAAACCTCACAATTCCCAAAGAAACCCAGACTTCACATTAATTTCCATTTCCAGAATGTGAACAAATCCCATGAAATTGTACTTTTCTTTTTTGGGAAGTTGAAATGCCAAGTTGTAGTATGAAAAGATGTAGTGACTGTGAAAATAATATTGTATTTATTCGTAATTAGCAAGATCATGACAAATTCAGATGCTTTCTTTACTTTTTTCTTCTGAGATTTGAGCACCTGATTTGTCTTTCTTAATTTGCTAAAATGTTTTCTGGTCTTAAATAACCAGTAGATAGTGCCCCCCCTCCCCTTTATTTGGGTGGGTAGGGAGGAGACTTAATCATGTACTTGTTTTAATTAAGTTCGAAAATTGAGAATGCTATTTCTACTTAACTTAGTCATTATGTTGCTTGCTCCCATACCTGATATGCATTATATACTGTTTTGAAACTATGTTTAGTTTCTGGATGTGGACATGTAAGCAATCCCAGGATTTACACTGTTTTTGGCACCTAAATAAATTTCATTAATCTGAATTCATATTTGGAGCCAGTTACCTTACCATCATGTTTCCCAGACTAGATTAGCATATTGCCTAGCAATTTTATAATATGGAATGCATACGGTAATTATTAATTATCATCTGCATTATAGAGTTAGATCAGTTGGAATCTTAGTACTGTTAACACATGCTCAAGCTACAAATTAATGGTTGACTTGGGCAATAATATAGAAATTATGATTTCACTTACTTTTGCACCATTAATTTATTACTTACTTTAAGGAGCTCCAAGAAAGATGATCATTATTAATTTTGAATTATTCAGGCATTTTTGGAGAGTCAAGGCATTGAATTAAATCCACCAGAGAAAATGGCTCTTGATCCTTACACTGAGCTCCGGAAACAGCCTCTTCGTAAGTATGTCACCCCATCCGACTTTGATCAACTCAAGCAGTTTCGCACCTTTGACAAACAAGTAAGTGACCTAGGTTTACTTGTTTCCTAGTGTGGCACATGTATTTATTGGCAAGCTATTTTGGTAGATGTATGTTTTTAAATATTACATCTCTAATATAACCCTTTGGACACAGTGCTACCTTTCTGGTTTCATCTAGGATTAGAAGTATAAGAATACCTAAATGTCATGTTATAGGTCCACAGAAGATTGTGGAGTTAAGTCTTGTGAGTTCCACCAAACTTTTAATTTTAAAATAATTCCTGAGTTACATCTTCTTCCATTTTATATTTCCAGCTGACCATTTCTTTCTTCAAATGTTAATCTCATGGAATCCTTTGAGAAACCTTAAATGAATTATTGGGAAAGTCCTTGAATAAATAAATTTAGGCTTCTAACATTAATGTAATAATTTCACAGAAACCCCATGCTGAGGGTTCCCTGTTAAATTTTATATTGATGTACGAGTACAGAATGTTCTGGGTATTTCCAACTCCTCCAATCTTCCTGTCCTCCCAGTGTGGGCTGGCAGATTTGAGTCTTCTCCTTTCTTTACTGAAAGGAAAGAGAAAAGGGAGAACATCACCCTCGACTCTTTTTTAGTGCTCTTATTCTTTTAGAAATTTAACTACTTTTAGCTCAGAAAATTTTCCCTATCAATAGCATGGCTTTATAAGGAATTTATTGATATCAGTCATACATCTGTTATTCTTTTGCATTTAAAGATTATATTGTTGACACTATTATTAAAGATGTTTGTTGATGGGACTAAAAAAAGACTAATAAGTAGACCTTTATTCCATATTAATTATTTATAAACTATGCATGTGTACCTTTATTAATACATACAAATCACTGTAAAAATGATCCATTGCTCTTTTAATTCAGCTTCCCTTTTCACTGACTAATATTTTGGATCAGAGTGAACTCATCTTTCTCAGCACAAACTTATAAGTCTATTTAATTATTTTTAGCTGATACAGAATTTCAAATGTTTTAGTATTTCATGAATTTTTCTTTTTTTCAGTCCACTGTCTGAGATTAATTCTTAGACTTTCCAGCTAATCTTTACATTATTGACTGATATATAAATGCTAAGGTAGCTTAATCAAATGCTCCACTGGTAGGATTCCAACTTAAGTCACTACTTTGGATTCTTCAAAGGTTCTTCGATTTTATGCAATCTGGGATGATACAGACAGCATGTTTGGTGAATGTCGGACTTACATCATTCATTACTATCTTATGGATGATACGGTGGAAATTCGAGAGGTCCATGAACGGAATGATGGACGAGATCCTTTCCCACTCCTGATGAACCGCCAGCACATGCCCAAGGTTTTGGTGGAAAATGCAAGTATGTTTAATTCAGTTTGTCCTCTGTTAGTTGGGACCTTTTTTGGATCGCAAAGGAGATGCTTAGTCAGTGTGGTCATTCCCTTCACACTTTAGAGATTCTCGCCATATTCTCCTAGGTGCTCAGAGAATGACTTTCCCATAACTTACTTCCTTTACCTGCTGCTTGGTCCAGGCATGCCCCAGAGGTGGTCTGGTGGAGATGACTGATACCCAGATCATAGAAACAAATCCAAAGCGGCACTGGGAGATTCGTTTTAAGTGTGGTGGAGCAAGGCTTATGAAGTGAGTGGTTTAATATCAGACTTTTTACATGTTTTTTAAAAAATAATATTTTATTGTGTTTTCAGTAAAGATTTACAGAGCAGTTTAGGTTCCCATTCAACAATTTCTACACTAGAAATTGTTCAGTGACATTGGTTACATTCTTCGTAATGCACGAACATTCTCATTATTTCCATTCTGGTGTTCTGTTTCCATTAATCTAGTTTCCCTGATCCCTTACTTTCTCATCTTTGTTTTTTTTTTTTTCTTTTTTTTTGTTATTGTACTGTAGATGAAGGTTTACAGAACAAACTAGCTTCTCATTAAGTAGTTAGTACACATATTGTTTTGTGACATTGGTTACCAACCCCGTGACTTGTCAACACTCTCCCTTCTTAACCTTGAGTTCCCTATTACCAGCTTTCCTGTCCCCTCTTGCCTTCTTGTCCTTGCCCCTGGGCCGGTGTGCCCCTTTAGTCTTGTTTTGTTTTGTGGGCCCATCTAATCTTTGGCTGAAGGGTGACCCTCAGGAGTGACTTCATTACTGAGCTAAAAGGGTGTCTGGGGGCTATATTCTTGAGGTTTCTCCAGTCTCTTGTCACGCTAGTATGTCTGGTCTTTTTGTGTGTGTGTGAGAATTTTGTTCTACATTTTTCTCCAGCTCTGTCTCAGACCTTCTGTTGTGATCCCTGTCAGAGCAGTCAGTGGTGGTAGCTGGGCACCATCTAGTTGTACTGGACTCAGTCTAGTGGAGGCTGTGGTAGGTTTTTTTTACATATTTTTTAAAGAGGCCTGTTTCCTTTCAAGGATATAGCTTAGCATTTCCTTATATGTTTTCCTGACTGCTTCTCTTTTCAACTACTTCCTAAACAGGAAATTTCTATGTGGGACAACTCGAAAACTTAGAAAAGGCATGTCTGTGAGTCATAGAGGTGGAGCACCATTGTGTCAACGTCTGCTCTTTGTTTTCTGGTTTAAAATAACCTCTGGTGGGTTGGAGAGTGAGAATGTAACAACATGCAACTGACATCCGCCATCCATCAATATTTCCCTGGGATAAGTAGGCTTGGGTTAGTCACTGATTTACATAGTAGTTCAAGAATTTTCTCTTATAAAAATGTCATCTTGGTCCCATGTAATGACATTTCTCATGCTTGGGTGGCTGACAAAACTCTATAAACACTTTCATTTATTATTTTCTTTTTACTATATCGTTGGGAACTGAGAGATAAGAAATTCCAGGTATTGAGAAAGAGGTTTGTCTAGATTAGAGATTATGAACACAAATTGGCAGTATACAGGCTAAATTCAGCCTACCCATATGTGTTCTGTGGCCTGCACGATGTTTAAAAAAGAACAGTGTTATTTGTGAACAAGGTATTGGAGGTTTCTATCATTGGGAGAGTAGATAGACAAAATGTGGAGGAGATACATCTTGATTAACTTTCAGTAGTTAAAAGCAATAAACTAGATGTACACAGAAAGCAAATGAATAGATCTTAAAAACATAATGCTGTGTACAAAAAAGTGAAATGAGATGTATACTGCAGTGCCATCTACATAATCTAAAATGTGTGCACACAAAACATAGTACATTCCTCAAAAAATTAAATACAGAATTACCATATGACCCAGCAATTCCACTCCTAGGTAGATACCCAAAAGACTTGAAAGCAGGGACTCAGATTCTTGTACACCAATGACCATTGCAGCATTGTTCACGATAGTCCAAAGGTGGAAACAACCCAAGTGTCCATCGACAGGTGAGTGGATAAACAACATGTAGTATACACATACAATGGAACATTATTCACCCATAAAGGGAAATGAAGTTCTGATACATGCTACAAAGTGGAAGAACCTCAAAAACATCATCAAGTGAAATAAGTCAGACACAAAAGGACAAATATTGTATGACCCTGCTTACATGGAATATCTAGAATAGGCAAATGCATGGAGATCAAAGTTTATTAGTGGTTACCAGAAATGGGTGAGAGGAGAAAAGGGTAGTTGTTGCTTAAGTGGTACCAGGTTTCTGTTAAGAAAAAATCTGGAAACAGTGGTGGTGATGGTTTGTACAACACGGTGAACATACTTAATGTCACTGAATAGTACGTGTAAAAATGTTTGAAATGGCAAATGTTTTTGTTATGTATATTTTACCATGATAAAATAATAAAGAAAAAACATAGTACACATAAACAATCAAACAAAAAGCTGCGCATTAGAATGATTGTATACCAGAGAGAGGAGAATGAGAGTAAGGAAAAGAGGTATATGGGAGTAAAAATTAATTTCTATCATTGTAAAATTAGGAGTGCTCACATACAAATATGTAGGTTTCTCAGTTTTCTGGAGTGAATGCTAACCCTGGGCTTGCATTCTCAGATAGCAACAACTAGAACTGTGCCCTAGTTTCCCATAGTTTGGCTGCTGCCTACTATACTCAGCCCCTACATTGTAGAAGTCCTATGACTCTGGGACTAATGTATTAATTTTGGCCTTCTACCCAAGTGACTTGAGTCCCTTCTAGGTCTATGACTATGTGTATAGAAGGACATGTATTCTTTCTCTCTGTAGTAATTTTTTTTAAGCATTAATTCTACTAAGATTAGTAACTCAGAATCACAGTTGGAGCTGAATATGGAGAGACAGATAACTGTCCTGTTAACAGATAGAAATACACATCCTTATATTCTGGTGAGAATGTAGGGGAGTCCTTGATCCTTGACCAAAGCAAAAGACCACACTCCCTCAGGTTCTCAGGAATGCCCAGCTGTTGTGTGTCAGCCTTTCTTCCCATTCTTCTCATTCCTCCTTTTTTTCTCTCTCCTCTGTCTTATGTTAGAGAACTTCCCTCAGTGTGTGTTGGAAATCTCTGATCAAGAAGTGTTGGAATGGTATACTGCCAAGGACTTTATTGTTGGGAAACCACTCACTATCCTTGGGAGAACGTTCTTCATTTATGATTGTGATCCGTTTACTCGACAGTATTACAGAGAAAAGTTTGGAATCACTGACTTACCACGTATTGATGTGAGCAAGAAGGAACCACCTCCCGTAAAACAGGTAATAGAACACCAGTTTGAATGTGGAGAGAGAATTAATCTTTTGATATAGAAACTTAAGAAAAAGGAAAAAGTTTCCAATAAAATAATAAAATGAATACTCAATAAAAAAACGGACAAAGTATATCAAATAAAGCAGCTCACAAAAGAAGAAACACAAATGGTCAATAAATATATGAAAAGATCCTCAATCTAACCAATAATCAAACAAATATAAATGAAAACATTGAAGTTTCTTGATCTGTTCAAATTTCAAAGTTTAAAAAGACTCACACTATCCCATGGTATGAAGAAATTCATACACTATTAATGGGAACACCAGTCAGAACAATTGTTCTAAACAGCATTTTGCCATGATTTTTATTTTTTTTCAAAATAAAATATCATGTATCTCTTGACCTAGAAAACCTGCTTTGGGGACTATAAAAAGATATTTGCAAGAACATGTATTGGCAGCATTACTCATAATTAAAGTGTAAAGAGAATGGCAAAATAAATCATAATAACATCCATCAGTACAACTAGAAGACTATGAAGCTGGTAAAAAGGAGGAGGTTAAGTCTATGCATATTAACATGAAAAAGTGTTTATGGTACATTTTTAAGTGAATATGTATATATAATATGGTCCTATTTTTATAAATTACTGTATGTAATATTTACTTATATATGCTGAGGAAGAAATCTAGAAGGATCTACATGATATTATTGACAGTAGTTAGTACAACACGTAGGAAAGGGGAGGTAGGAGATGACAAGGGACCTGTATATTTATACTTCTTTGTGTGGCTTTAATTTTTCTTTTTACACCAAGTCCTGAATTACTTTTATATTTTTTTTCATTAAAAAATAGAGAGACCTTTTAAATTCCAGACCTCTAGGACATTTCATTATTTCTTGCCAACTTATCAAATCCTTTAGCTTAAAAAGTGATTTGGTGCAACCCACTGAGACTGGGGGAACCCCCATATCTATTACCCTGAGATAATAGTTAAACCTTGAACCAAAACTATCCCCTGAAATCATCTGTAAACTAAACAACAGGTTAGCTCAATTAGTAATTAATGGTTGCGTTGAACATTGAGCCCTTTTAAAGAATTATCTATACGAGATCAAATTGACAACAGTAACTCTAAAGCATAGATGAGTTGTTTAGGTGGCATTAAGTCTAAGTTAATGGTCGTGAAACAACACGGTAGAGATAGTTGGAATGGTGACACAATATGAAGAATCTAACCAATGTCATTGAACTGTACATGTAGAAATTATTGAATGGGTATATGTTTTATTGTGTATATTGTCACACACACAAAAAAAATGATTGAGTATAACAGAAAGACTGATTAATTGAAGATGTTGGAGGATGTCTTTCTCTCATTGCAACATAGCTTTTCTTAGAACCGCATAGTTCAGTTCTGTGAACCACAAAGTTCACTCTGATATGAGAGTAAGTTCATGGAACTTTTAATACACTGAAATAATAATTTGATAAGCATGAGACTTCAGAATTCTGCCAGACCACATATTTCAAGAGTTTAAAATGAGAATTACATGTTTTTAAAAAATTACATATTATAGAAGGCAGCACGGTATCGTGGACTAAACACTGATGTTATACCGTTTGGGGCAGAAACAACTCATTCAACCTCTGTCTGTTGCTTTGTATTAACTAGGGGGTTAACACCTGTGGCCAATCTTTATATTGTTACTGTAGGTATAAAATAGTGTCACTAGACTCTTTCTCCTCTAAATAAAGGCCATGAGTAAAAGGATGGAATTACTGAATTCCTCCGTGCCTAAGCCCTTGCTTTTTCCGCCCCCACCTCCCGCCTCTGTCACCCCCTTCCTTGTCCTCATCTTCAGTTATACTGAACTGCATGTGGTTTTGCCAGGACAGCATCCTGTTTTACTCCCCTGGGCTTTTGCTCATGCTCTCCCACTTGCTTGAATTACTTTTCCAACATTCCTTCACACAGCTCTTTCTCATTCTTCTAGGCCTCTTCTCCCCAAAGAAGGCTACCTTAAGCTCTGGGCAGGGCTAAACACCCCTCGTCTGCGTTCCTGGGGTACTCTGTGATCCTTTCCACTATCACATCAATTATATTAAATACCTGTTTGTGAATCTTTTCTACTAGACTGTAATTTCCTTGAGGGCAGAGATAATAATCCTATTCATTTTGGTGCTGTCAGCACCTAATGGAGCCCTGGTGATGTAGTGTGGTTAATAGCTTGACTGCTAACGAAAATGGTTGGCAGTCCAAATCCACCATCCACCAGCCGCTCCTTGGAAACCTTATGGCGCAGTTCTACTCTGCCTTATAGGGTCACTGTAAGTCAGAATTTACTTGACGGCAACGGGTTTGTTTTTCTTTTCAGCACCTAATACAGTGCCTAACAAATAGGAGACATGTAATATGTTTCTTCAGCTAGACTGAAGAAGATTGCCTATGATGTAGATGATGTTCCCCATAAAGGCAGGTGATATCTTAGTCCAGCTTTTAGAGTTAAAGTTTCATGAAAACAATTACAAAGAAAGATTTGGATTTTGGCATGTTATGAGTTCTCAGGGGCAATAAAACTTCTGAAAGGAAGTGTAGTGATGATAATACCTCTTGTGGTCAGTTTTTTTTTTTTTTTCCCTCTGATAAAACTCTGATAGAAATCATTGTGCTCATTGATTAAGATTTATACTAAAACCTTTGCCATCCCCACCTCAAATTTTTGGCAGCATTTAATGCAGTATAGAGGAAAAAATACCACATGAACAGATATAGATTTAAAAAAAAAATTTTTATTGTGGTAAAATCTGTATGACAAAACATTTGCCATTTTAACCATTTTAAAGTGTGCAATTCAGTGACATTAACTACATTCACTGTGTTGTGCAACCCTCACAACTATTTCTAAAAGTTTTTCATCACCCCAAACAAAGCCAGTACCCCTTAACCAAGAACTCCTTATTTCTCCCTCCTCCCAGCCCTTTGTTGTTGTTGTTGTTAGGTTCCATCAAGTTGGTTCCGACTCATAGTAACCCTGTGTACAACAGAACTAAACACTGCTCGGTCCTGTGCCGTCCTCACAATTGTTGTTATGCTTGAGCCTATTGTTGCAGCCACTGTGTCAGTCCATCTCGTTGAGGGTCTTCCTATTTTTCGCTGGCCCTCTACTTTACCAAGCATGATGTCCTTCTCCAGGGACTTACCCCTCCTGATAACATGTTCAAAGTATGTTGAGACATAGTTTCGCCATTCTTGCTTCTAAGGAGCATTCTGGTTGTACTTCTTCCAAGACAGATTTGTTTGTTATTTTGGCATTCCATGGTGTATTCAATATTCTTGGCCAACACCACAATTCAAAGGCGTCAGTTCTTCTTCAGTCTTCCTTATTCATCGTCCAGCTTTCACACGCATATGAGGCAATGGAAGACAGCATGGCTTGGGTCAGGCATACCTTAGTCTTCAAGGTGCCATCTTTGCTTTTGAATACTTTAAAGAGGTCTTTTGGAGCAGATTTGCCCAATGCAATGCGTCTTTTGATTTCTTGACTGCTGCTTCCGTGAGTGTTGATTGTGGATCCAAGTAAAATGAAATCCTTGACAACTTTGATCTTTTCTCCGTTTATCATGATGTTGCTTATTGGTCCACTGGTAAGGATTTTTGTTTTCCTTATGTTGAGGTGTAATCCATTCTGAAGGCTGTGGTCTTTGATCTTCATCAGTAAGTGCTTCAAGTCCTCTTCATTTTCACCACTAATAAACCTTTTTTGTCTCTATGAATTTACCTATTCCAGATATTTCATATAAGTGAAATCATACAATATTTTCCCTTCTGTATCTGGCTTATTTCACTTAGCATAATGTTTTCAAGGTTCATCCACTTCATAGCGTGTGTCAGAACTTCATTTCTCTTTATCGCTAATAATATTCCATTGTATGGATATACTACATGTTTTTTATCCATTCATCTACTTTTGAGTCTTTTGGGTATTTACATAAGAGTGAAATTTCTGGGTCGTATGGTAACTACCAAACTGTTTTCCACAGTGGCTGCACCATTTTACATTCCCATCAGCAATGCATGAGAATTCCAATTTCTTCACATCCTCGTCAACTCTTGTTATTTTCTGTTTTTCTGGTAAGAGCCATCGTAGTGGGTGTGAAGTGGTATCTATTGTGGTTTTGATTTGCATTTCCCTAATAACTAATAATGCTGAGCATCTTTTCATATGGTTATTGGCCATTTGTATATCTTCTTTAGAAAAATGTCTGTTCAGGTCCCTCTCCTGTTTTGAAATTGGGTTGACTTTTTGTTTTTGAGTTGTAGGAGTTCTTTGTATATTCTGGATATTAAATCCTTATCAGATATTTGGTTCCCAAATACTTTCTTCCATTCTGTAGGTTGTCTCTTCATTTTGTTGGTAAGTCCTTTGATGCATAAAAGTTTTTAATATTGATGAAGTCCAGTTTATCTATTTGTCTTCTGTTGCTCATGCTATTGGTGTCATATCTAAGAATCCACTGTCAAAAACAAGGTCTTGGAGCTTTACTCCTGTGTTTTCTTCTAAGAGTTTTATTTCTTATATTTCAGTCATTAGTCTGTTTTGAGTTAATTTTATATATGGTGTGAGTTATGGGTCTAACTTCATTTTTTTGCACGTGGAGATCCAGTTTTTCCAGCACTGTTTGTCAAAAAGACTATTTTTTCCCCATTAAATGGACTTGGCATCCTTGTCAATCATCAGTTGGGGCCATAGATGGGTTTTATGGGTTTATTTCTGGACTCTCAATTCTATTCCACTGGTCTTTATATCTAACTCTATACCAGTACCACACTGTTTTGATTACTGTAGCTTCATAGTACATTTTGAAATCAGTAACTGTGAGTCCTCTTACTTTGCTCTTTTAGATATAGGTCAAGCATTTTAGTTTATAGATAGGATAATCTGAGATAAGTAGTTCAAGGGACATACCAGGTCACATTGCAAGGCACAAGGATGGTTCTATTGAATGGCAAACAATCTTACAAAGAATGGGTTTTATCTAACCAGTGCTTGAGGAGGTAGGGTGGAGAGGGGTTGCAATTTAGTGGTGCATTTTTCTTAGTGAGAAGGCTTTGATCCATCTTTGGACCAGATGAAAGCTTTTGATTCCTAGAATACCTCTAATGCCTACTGCCGTTTCAATCAACTTTTTTCTCCTAACCTATCTTCAAAGCAAGGAAAGGGAAGAGAAGGCTTGAGTAAAGAGCAGAGAGAACTGAATGAAGAACCACTGTAGATTTTTGGTTTTTTGTTTATTTTGGCCAATCTCAGCCACTCTGTATAAATAAAGCTAAGTCTAAATCCCTGCAGATGGCACATTAATCATAGTGTTCAGTCAGTTCATTTCCAGTAAATTTTCCACAGTAAATAATTCTACTACAAGTAAATTCTCTCTATGTACGTCTCTCTGTGGAAGTCTTTGTCGGTAATGATGAGTAGGAGAGCTCCACTTACCAAGCAGCAAATACCTTAGTCGTTATACCTCAGTCATTTTAACCCTGTCCCACTTAGCTGGCAGCTAGGCCTGGAAAGCTATAGCAGAGCCTGGAAAGATTCCTGACCAATGATTAGGGATAGAGGTGGATATGACGTGATTGTTCGATCTGAGAATTAAGACACTCATAGGTCAAGCTAATCTTCTAGACCAGGAATAAATAAACATGTACACAGTTACCATTTGTGTTCTGACTTAGGCTGGTTTCATCTGGACACATGATGGTAGGAAAGAGGAAGAAGCCAAGAGTAGGTGAACTAATCTGCTATGGGGCTGGCCCCTAAAAGCCGTAATTGGGAGGATTATGGGTTCCATGTGTACTAGCTTTGTTTAGAAAGCCTGGGCAGAAAATCTGGTGGGTGGTCATATGAGCAGGATTATCTACAGTGATAATATCCATAGTCAGATGAGTGGCTATTCTAATTTAGAGCAGGGCTCAGACAGTAGCTTGGAGTCGGAGAAGTAAGATGCCAGGACCATAGGCATGTAGGCTGAGATTTAGGGAAGGTCTTCATTGCAGGCAGAGGAAATGAAGTGTGATTCAGAAAAACACAGGTATAAGCTGGTTCAAACACAACAGGAATTTGAGAGGAAGGCTCAGAGGCTTTTAGCTACTTCCCTGTTTCAAAATCCCTCAACCACACTCCCACCCCCAAACTAGGCTGCTCTTATTGTGTGTTGGTATGGATGCAAATCATGTTCAGTTTTACCACTTTGCAGTTTCTGCCTAGACTACAGAGTAACTCAAAGGCTTAGCACGTGGTGTCTCAGTCTAAGTTCCATCTGTCCATGGCAACCTCTATATTTATTGAGTAGTGGTTTTGCACATGGAGAAAATTAAGCCATTGTCCATCTACTGAGTCCACTAGTCATATTCTAGCCATGATGATCAGTTAACTCCAGCCCCAGGAAGTGAGTCAGGGGTCAGTGTTCAAAGAAGTGTACCTTGGAGGAACATAGCAGGGTCATTCGTTGTTGAGGGAATACCCTGTTATGGATGGTACCAGGAATCATATGGACCAATTTGTTAAAGTACCTGACTACAACATAAAAAAAAAAAAAAAAAAAGATTTTGTGCAGGTATCTACAAGTGAAAAAGCATTGTACAGGCTGAGTTTGCTGAGAAAGCATAGCAAAAAGGAGTCTGGGTAGAAGAACTCTGCTGATGGTCTGTCCAGCATTGATGAGGAAAAGGAAAACTTAGTCTCTGAAGTGCTTGTTTTTAGGCAAACAAATCTTAGCATCCTAGAGCGATGCCTTCAGCTGTTTATGAAGCCGGAATGAAACACGTATGCTCATCCTATACTTTCACTCTAACTTACCAAGTAACCTGTGCATCTGAAATTTGGTTTCTGAGGTGTGCTTCTTTACCAGGAAAGGAGGGTTCTGTGTGAACAAAGGTTTCGAGTTTCCAAAAGAGTATGACTATCCTTCCTCTTTTGTGAGGCAAAAATTTAAAAAAAATTAGAAATATGGAGGTAAGTAGGAGAAAAAATAGCATGAACCAAGTCCTGACCACTCCCTCCCTGAACTCCAACACACACACAAACACACACACACACACACACACACACACACACACACACATACACACACACACACAGAGTTTAGGCGAACTGAGAAAACAGTTTCCAGATCTGCCAGGCTGACGCCCATACACTAGGACAAAGAGGTCCTGGACACACCCCTGGGCTTCACGATCCTAGACCACAAAGGCCAAAGATGAGACTGGTGAGGGGCCAGGCCCTGCTTTGGTGGTAAAAAGTCATGGACATCAGCAATAGTTTCTATCTAGTCTGGGGCTTACTTTGTAGTATTGTCAGCCATTTCTGTAATCAGTAAGCATGATGTAATATCCATAAATAAAAAGAAGGGAAATAAGTGATGTGTTATTTTTTCTGACTACACTTGTATATATAGGAATTATTTTCAAATAAATGTTTTCCAGAGCGTTTTTAAGAAATGTATAGCTACCTTTACTGTAAATTTTAACACATGTATGTCTACTTTACTTCTTGCTTCCTGTACGTCTCCAGGAATTGCCTCCCTATAATGGTTATGGACAAGTGGAAGATTCTGCTCAGAATTGCTTTGCTCTGATTCCAAAAGCTCCAAAAAAAGATGTTGTTAAAATGCTGGTGAATGATAACAAGGTGCTTCGTTATTTGGCTGCACTGGTGAGGCTAATTTTTATATAAAGAGGTTCTGTTCTGTCTCAGTACTGGATAAATTATCCATTCTGTTTGTAAGTTGTAGAATAACAGCTGTCAGAGTTATGTGTTTACTCAAAAGATCATTTGATCTGTTAGCCAGCCTTCAGGCAGGTTAGCAAAAAATGAAACTCATTTCCATTGAGTTGATTCCTACTCATAGTGACCCTAAGAACTGAATAGAACTGCCCTCATAAGGTTTCCAAGGCTATAAATCTTTACAGAAGCAGATTGCCACATCTTTCTTCTGTGGAGCAGCTATCTGGTGGTTTTGAACTGCTGACTTTTTGGTTAACAGCCGAGCACTTTAACTGCTGTGCCACCAGTATTAAGTGTGGTACCCTGAGCCATCACCTAAGTCAAGCCCTGTCTCCCACAAGAATCTTTCTTTAATCATTAATCTCTTCCCTCTACCCCTCAAATTTTGACAGACCTTTTTTATTAAGCAATTATGAAAGTCTGACTTGTATAAAAATTATTTGTGTATCTGTGTGCCTTTCTAGTATACTGATTTCCTTGAGGATAGGAACCATGTCTGGCTAATTTTTAGCAATACCTGTGATATCTAGCTTGATATACTTTTATATTCAATAAATGTAATAAAGGGAATCATACCAGCTTAATCGATGTTCCAATTGAGAGGTCATACAACTAGTGTTAAGAGCATGGGGTTTGGAAACAGACATAAGTTGAAACCCTGGATATTTCACTTACTGATAATTACCTCAGGCAAATTACTAATAGGAAGTCAAAGGATAATGTCTAAAAAGTGTGAAAAAAAATATAAAAATAGGAATATGAACATTTTACTTAGAAGTATGGACATAAATAGCAGAAGTTGAAATAAATTACTTTTGGGAATCAGAATTGGAAGTGGGGAGGGGTGGGTCAAGTGACTTTTCAAACTATATTCATTTATTTGAAAAATAAATGAAAACATAGTTGACTAATATACTTGAGAAAAATATTTAATAAGGCTTTAAATTAAAAGGGGGTGCTAGCAAAATCTAAGGAGCTCTGATGGAGCAATAGTTATATGCCCAGCTGCTAACCAAAAGGTAGGTGTGCCACCAGCCACTCTGTGGGAGAAAAGACCTGACAATCTGCTCCTGTAAAGATTACAGCCTAGGAGAGAACTTGTCTGCAGCCATCCACTGATCGAAGAGACATGTTTAAAACACGTTTTGTTTGGAATAAACCCATGCATGTATGAACTGGAATCCTAGTGGCAATAATTTTTGACTAACCCTGGTATAAACTTCTTGAGGAAGGGATCATGTCTTACTAGACTTTGTAGATACTCAATAACTGTTTGTTGAATGGGTGAATGAATTTATTTACATATAAACACTATCTGTGAGTTAGGCAACATATTACACTCATTTTATGTTTCCAGAAATAAGAACCGGAGAGGCTAATTGACTTGTCCCAGGCCTCCGTGCTACGTGGGCAGAACCAGGACTAAAATTTAGCCTTCTGAAAATTTGACTAAGTCAAAAACCCAGTATTCTTTTGACTAAAAACCTGAACTAGAATATGTAAAGAACACTATCAAATCAATAAGAAAAACAAATAAGAAACTAGAACAGGCATTTCACAAAGGAGAATATACAAAATGTCAATAAATGTATTAAAAGGTGCCCAACCTCTTTAGTAATCAGGGAAGTAGAAATTACAGCCACAATGTGTTACCACTACTCACCTATCAGAATGACTAATATGTTGGTGAGAATGGAGCAGTAGGAACTCTCACACTTTCACTGATAAACCCACTTAGGAAAATAGTTGGCCTAATCAAATACACTAGATTGTGCCAAAATGAGACAGTATATGTGTACCAAGAGATAAGAATGTTCATAGCAGCATAATTCATAGTAGCTAAAAACAGAAATAAGTCCATCTGCAGGAGACAGGATAAGTAAATTATGGCATATTTATACAATGATTTGAATTCTATTCAGCAATAAAATTAATGAACTATAGCTACAAGTAACAACATATAAATCACATAAATATAATTTTGAATATAAGAATCCAGGCACAAAAGAATACATATGTACAATATAATTTCATTTACATAAGGATAAAAAACAGGAAAACAAACCTGTAGTGCTTCAGGATACATGCTTGAGTAGTAAAACTAAAGAAAACCATGGAACTCAAGATAATGGTTTCTTTGGCAGAGGAGGGATAGGATATTGATTGGAAGGGGCTTTCTCCGGCTTTGGCAATGTTGTATTTCTTGACCTCTGGATGGAGGTTAAATGGTTGTTCACATTGTGATAGTTCTTTGAGCTGTACATTTTTGTTTTTGCAATTTTCTCTATGTGTGTGATAGTTCACCGTAAAAAAGGTTTAAAAGAAAGCCACCAGAGATAGGAGTAAGGAAGTGGAGGTATCTTCCTGTGGGCAGGAAAACAATGATATTCTGGTCCCAGTGATTGTCAAATGTTTTTCCGTGACCGGTTTGGTGAAATAGTTTATTCATTAGGCTCATCATGAAAACTCTGGGGGAAGAAGGAAAGAGTGCTTGACAATAGGAGAAAGGGGTATAAGAGTGAGGTGGGGACTTTAGAAGAAAAGATGGAAATTCAAAAGGAAAGGAGTGTGCTGGAGATGATCAGAGACAAATCTAATTAAATTCTATTCAGTTCCAACCAAGGCACTGAACACGCTCTGAAAAAATAAAGTACGTTTAACTCATGTAGGTAATTAATGCCTAAGTAAAAATATGCTGTTAAGATATCTGAGGCTCAGAGTGGAGTGCTGGATGAGAAACTTGGGGGAGCTTTAGAAGAACATAAGAAAGATGATCTACAAAGCAGTGTGCACAACCTCCAAAGGGTGTGCAAGATAGTACAGCCCATGGGGCTTGTTAAGAAGATGTTATCAGCCTCTGTTTATTTTGTTTTATTTATTGTTACAAGTATATTTATTTTATAGCCCCTGATATTTTATATATGTGCACATAAAATAAATTTATATAGGAGAACATGTATTTAATTATTAATTAATTCAGTCAATAGATATTTATTAAAGGACTACTGTGGGCCAGTGTGGAGCCCTGGTGGCGCAGTGGTTAAGAGTTCAGCTTTTAACCAAAAAGTCGGCAGTTCAAATTCACCAGCTGCTCCTTGAAAATCCTATGGGACAGTTCTACCCCGTCCTACAGGGTTGCTATGAGTCGGAATCGACTCAGTGGCAACGAGTTTGGTTTTTGGTTTTATGGATCAGTGTAGCTCTAGACACTGAGAGTACAGCAGTGAACAAGATAGACAAATCTTGGTCCTGATGAAGCTTAATTCTAGTTGAGGACATTCTGGTCACTAAACATATAAAAGGAGAGGGAGTGACACATGTTGTAAGAAAATAAAATGGGGTACAGAGAGTGATGGGAAAGGGAATCAAAGAAAGTCTCTCTGAGGAGGTCACAGCTGAGCAGAGAGCTGGAGGACAAGCCAAGCAAGTCAGCCATGGGAATATCTGAGAGAACAAACTGCATTTCAGGCAGAGACAGTGTACAATGAATGGAGGGTCAGGAGGCAGAAAATGAGGATGGAGTCAAATGCCAGCTCAGAGCTTTGTAGCCTGTGGTGTAACAAGGGGAGGAGTCATAGGGGTGGGGTGGTGGCAGCAGTCCACCCTGGTGCAGGTAACAGGGAATGCATTGCCTGTAGAGAATTTAAAAATAAAACCATCTAATACCTCACACCACGCACAAAAACTAACTCAAAATGGATCAAAGACCTAAATATAAAGTCGAAAACAATACAGATCGCGGAAGAAAAAATAGGGACAACAATAGGAGCCCTAATACGTGGCATAAACACAATACGAACCATAAGTAACAATGCAAAAGCACCAGAAGAGAGACTAGATAACTGGGAGCTCCTAAAAATCAAACACTTATGCTCATCAAAAGACTTCACCAAAAGTCAAAAGACAACCTACAGACTGGGAAAAAATTTTTGGCTACAACAAATCCGATCAGCATCTGATCTCTAAAATCTACAAGATACTGCAAAACCTCAACAACAAAAGACAAATAACCCAATTAAAAAATGGGCAAAGGATATGAACAGGCAGTTTGCCAAAGAAGATATTCAGGCGGCTAATAGACACATGAAGAAATGCTCAGGATTATTAGCCATTAGAAAAATGCAGATCAAAATTACAATGAGATATCATCTTACCCCAACAAGGCTAGCATTAATCCAAAAAACGCAAAATAATAAATGCTGGAGAGGTTGTGGAGAGACTGGAACACTTCTACACTGTTGGTGGGAATGTAAAATGGTACAACCACTTTGGAAATCGATTTGGTGCTTCCTTAAAAAGCTAGAAATAGAAGTACCATACGATCCAGCAATCCCGCTCCTTGGAATATATCCTAGAGAAGTAAGAGCCGTCAAACAAATAGATTTATGCACACCCATGTTCATTGCAGCACTATTCACAATAGCAAAAAGATGGAAACAACCTAGGTACCCATCAACAGATGAATGGATAAACAAATTATGGTATATTCACACAATGGAATATTACGCAATGATAAAGAACAAAGATGAAGCCATGAAACGTACGTAACCTGGAGGAATCTGGAGGTCATTATGCTGAGTGAATTTAGTCAGTCACAGAAGGACAAATATTATATAAGAGCACTATTACAAGAACTCAAGAAAAGGTTTAAACACAGAAGAAAACATTCTCTGTTGGTTACCAGGGTGGGGAGGGAGGGTGAGGGTTATTCACTAACTAGATAGTAGATAAGAATTATCTTAGGTGAAGGGAAGGACAGCACACACTACAGGGGAAGTCAGCACAACTGGACTAAACCAAAGCTAAAAAGTTTCCTGAATACAATCAAACACTTCGAGGGACAGAGTAGCAGGAGTGGGGGTTTGGGGACCATGCTTTCAGGGGACATCTAGGTCAATTGGCATAACAAAGCTTATTAAGAAAAAGTACTGCATCCTACTTTGGTGAGTGGCATCTGGGGTCTTAAAAGCTTGCACGCAGCCATCTAAGATGTATCAGTTGGTCCCAGCCACCTGGAATAAAGGAGAATGAAGAACACCAAAGTCACAAGGAAAGCATTAGCCCAAGAGACAGAAGGGGCCACATAAACCAGAGACTTCATCAGCCTGAGACCAGAAGAGCTAGATGGTACCTGGCTACCACTAAGGATTGCCCTGACAGGGAACACAACAGAGAGTCCCTGATGGAGCAGGAGAAAGGTGGGGTGCTGAACTCTAATTCTAGTAAAAAGACCAGACTTAATGGTCTGACTGAGACTGGAGGAACCCTGGAAAGCATGGCCCCCGGATTCTCTATCAGCCCAGAGGTAAAACAATTTCTGATGCCAACTCTTCAGACAAAGATTGGACTGGACTGTGGGACATAAGATGATACTCATGAAGAGTGTGCTTCTTAGCTCAAGTAGATACAGGAGACTAAATGGGGAGCTTCTGTCCAGAGGTGAGATGAGAAGGCAGAGAAGGTTACGAGCTGGTTGAATGGACATGGGAAATCAGGGGTGGAAAGGAGGAGTGTCCTGTCACAATATAGGGAGAGCAATTAGGGTCACATAACAATGTATGTATGAATTTTTGTGTAAGAGACTAACTTGAAATGTAAACTTTCACTTAAACTACAAAAATAAACAAAAAAATAAAAGTAAAACCATCTAAAAGTTGGTCTGCTTCTTTACAGATCATGTGTCAGTAATTCTAAAAAACACCCCTGAAGAGATAGAGCTCCCATACAGTTGAATTTCAATTAATAATAAGAAAGAGGGAAATAGAAAATTACCATTAGGTACACACCACAGTCATGATTGTTGCAGATAAGATCTATCAATGGATGCTAAAATTCTTAGGCAAATGTTTAAGGAGAAACAGGATTTACATAATCTCGAAGTATTTCTCTCAAGATATTTGTTAACTGCAAAAAGAAAGATGGTAACTTTACAGGGGAGAAACCCAGTAGAAACCTCTTTAACCAAGTGATCATGGTAAACATCACTGGTAATAAGACATACTGATATCATGAACCCCTTGATATGATGCACTGAAAAGGACACTATATCTTTTTCGTGGTATTTTTGCCAAAAATGCAAAAATGAGGTGCATGAGGTACACCCAACAAAATAACTGGTCAATACTCTTCAAAAGTATTGAAGATTAATGAAAGACAAAGACTGGAGGAGACAAAGGAGAAATAACTAAGTGAAATGTGTGATCCTGGACAGGATCCCAGAACAGAAAAGGACATTAGTGAAAAACAAGTGAAATTTGAATAAGGACGGCAGTTTATTTGATAGTATTGTACCATTGTTATTTTCCTGACTTTTATGCACCTACTCCTTACTTATCGACTGTCTCATTATCCAACATTTAGCATTTACAACAATAGTAAAAAATATACTAATCCTCCTATTTTGCACATTAACAATGTACATCTGGCAGTAATGAACATGGAGGTGCAAGGTGAGGGTAATGCTGACTGTGATGGTTAAAGTTACGTGTCAGCTTGGCTGAGCCATGATTCTCAGTGGTTTGGCAGTTATGTAATGATGTAGTCATTTTCCATTTTGAGATCTAATATGGTCATTCTCCTTAATTTCATAATGTCGGTTTTTGTATAACGGCCTGGTCTTTGGAACCTAACCATGTCAGTAAGTGAGGAGTGGGTGTAATGGTACTGTGGTTATGTAAGATGTTAACAATAGGGGAAGCCTGGGGAAGTGTACATGGGAATTCTCTGCACGATTTTTGAAACTTTTCTATAAATCTAAACTTAGTTCAAAACAAAAAGTTTTAAAAAAGTTAAAAAAAAAAGAAAAAAAGCTTAAAATTATTCCTTCCTGCCAGAGTGAACTGTTCCCACTCTTCCCTAATTCCCTTGATACTCTCCTGTCTGTAGCCCTCCTCTGAACTTTGTATTTTATTCTAAGTGTGATGGGATAAGTGTCATGGGAATCCTTTGGAGGTTTGAGAGTAGAGCAGTGATATGATTGATTTGTATTAACTAAATAAATGTGGGTGTTTGTTTATATTAACTGTATAAATAGTGGGTGTTTGTTTAATTTTTTTTATTATAAGGGTGTCCAATCTAAAAAGTTTGGAGACTATTAGATTAGGGAATGGTATGAGGAAATTATTTCACTAAGATAAAACCTAATGACTTTCTTCAATATACAAGAAGTTATTACACGAATAGTTCCATGGTCTGAATAAGAAGATATGTCCTGAAGTTGCAATATGAGAGGATTTTAGTCAGGAATAAGCATGTCTGTATTAAGGTTTGTTCATTCTGGAATTTATTTCTTAAACAGGTTGTGTGATCACTCTCAGTGATTTGATTTTATAAAAATCTTGTCTAAAAGATAGTTTCTCAGAATCACTTTCAACCCCATGATATAAAATCTTACTTTTATCCCACCCTTTTCAATTTTTCTTTTTTAAATTTTGTATGTACATGGATTTGTTTAAAGAGCTAAACTTTGCACAAATCATCTTAATGTACACCAAACTGAACATAATGTCAGCCAGGACATCTCAAACTGGCAGCTTGTGGGCAGAATGTAGCCCATATATGTGTTTTGTTTGGTCTGCATGGGGCTTTAAAGAAGTTTGAGCCAGCATTGTAAAATCAGAGGTTTTACATCCAGATTTCCATCTTCTGTTGAAAAACTGGAAGGTCTAGCAACATTAGGCCTATATCCCCACAAGACAACAATCAACTGGAGTTGAGTTGGGACTTTCCCCTTTATTTATTTAAATTTTTTGTTTTCCCATACAAAAGTTTATACATACATTGTTATGTGACTCTAATTGCTCTCCCTGTACTGTGACAGCACACTCCTCCTTTCCACCCCTGATTCCCCACGTCCATTTGACCAGCTCCTAACCCTCTCTGCCCTCTTATCCCACCTCCAGGCCAAAGCTGCCCGTTTAGTCTCTTGTATCTACTTGAGCCTTAGCACACTCCTCATGAGTATCACTTTTATGTCCCACAGTCCAGTCCAATTCCTGTCTGAAGAGTTGGCCTTGGAAATTGTTTTAGTTCTGGGCTAACAGAGAATCCAGGGGCCATGCTTTCCAGGGTTCCTCCAGTCTCAGTCAGACCATTAAGTCTGGTCTTCTTACTAGAATTTGAGTTCTGCACCCCACCTTTTTCCTGCTCCGTCAGGGACTCTCTCTTGTGTTCCCTGTCAGGGCGGTGATTGGTGGTAGCCAGGCACCATCTACTTTTTCTGATCTCAGGCTGATGAAGTCTCTGGTTTACGTGGTCCTTTCTGTCTCTTGGGCTAATACTTTCCTTGTGACTTTGGTGTTCTTCATTCTCCTTTACTCCAGGTGGTTGGGTCCAATTGATGCATCCTAGATGGCCGCTTGCAAGCTTTTAAGACCCCAGATGCCACTCACCAAAGTAGGATGCAGAACATTTTCTTAATAAGCTTTGTTATGCCAATTGACCTAGATGTCCCCTGAAAGCATGGTCCCCGGACCCCCACCCCTGCTACTCTGTCCCTCAAAGTGTTTGATTGTATTCAGGAAACTTTTTAGCTTTGGTTTAGTCCAGTTGTGCTGACTTCCCCTGTAGTGTGTGCTGTCCTTCCCTTCACCTAAGATAATTCTTATCTACTATCTAGTTTGTAAATAACCCTCACCCTCCCACCACACCCTCATAACACCCTTGTAACCATCAAAGAATGTTTTCCTCTGTGGTTAAACCTTTTCTTGAGTTCTTGTAATAGGGGTCTTATACAATATTTGTCCGTGGACTGACTAAATTCACTCAGCATAATGAGTTCCAGCTTCCTCCATGTTATGTTTCACGGCTTCATCGTTGTTCTTTATCATTGTGTAGTATTCTGTTGTGTGGCTATACCATAATTTGTTTATTCATTCGTCCATTGATGGGCACCTAGGTTGTTTCCATCTTTTTTCTATTGTGAACAGTGCTGCGATGAACATGGGTGTGCATATATATATCTGTTAGTATGGGGACTGTCCTCTTTAGATGAGGCATGCCTTTTCCGGGCTACTAGAATTCTCACTCCCCATACCTATTGAATCCCCAATTGAAACATCTTCCTTTATATGATATACTGTCCCCTTTAGGCTTTTGAGTTTGGGTGGATCATGAACCTTCATATTCTGAATATCCTGTTTTCTTCACCTTTCTAGGAATCCCCCATCCAAGAAGACAAAGACCGCCGATTCGTCTTCTCTTACTTTTTAGCCACTGATATGATCAGTATCTTTGAGCCTCCAGTTCGAAATTCTGGCATCATTGGGGGCAAATACCTTGGCAGAACTAGAGTTGTTAAGCCAAACTCCTTCGTGGACAACCCTGTCTACTATGGTCCTGGTGACTTCTTCATTGGTGCTGTGATTGATGGTAAGTCTGAGACAGTTCAGCCTTTTCTGCCAGGTGAGTAAATGGATTCTTCTTAGAATTTAATTCAGTTCACCCTTGCAAGAGTCAATTAGGCTGTATTCCAACTTAGATAAAGCTAATATGCTGGATATGTAGTACAATGTCTTAATATGCTTCCTTACCAATTAAACTCTAAATTGGTTGCATTTGTTGGCATGGATTCATGCACACTATATGTAGATACTGAGCTTCCTAAACACTGCACAGCCTACTGCCTCTTAGTTTATAGAGCTATTGGAAATTCATTAGTTGGTGTCACAAATGCATATCTGTGAATTTGTCATTGGACGGTCAATATTATTTTACTCTTGATTGCATGATAGAAAGATAACCACACTAAATGTATTGCTACCCTCTCCCCAGTGTTTGGCCACCGGTTTGTCATCCTCGATGTAGACGAGTATGTTTTGAAATACATGGAGAGCAATGCTGCCGAGTATTCACCAGAAGCACTATCATCAATTCAGAACCATGTTCGAAAGCAAGAGGCTCCTGCACCAGAATTGGAAAAGTATGTTTGACCACCAAGGTCTGTTCTGGATTTGGCATATATTAGGTATTCAGGAAATAGTTCTTGACAAAATAAATAGGTAATCACTTTTAGATTTTCAAATTTCCCTCATCAGGTGGGAGTTATTAGACATACACATATGGTTCTCTGGGTCCAATATAGTAACTACTAACTTAAAACGTTTTCAATTTTATTAATTTAGCAAAAAATCACTGAGTGTCTACTATGTGTCAGAGATTATCACTTGACTCTTGGGCTTTTATCAGTAAACCAAATGACAAGAAGTTACTGCCTTCATGAGTTGACCTTCTAAGCAACAGGATATAGACAATAAACAACACAAGCAAATAAATTACATACTGTATTAGTTTCCTGGAGCTGCTGTAACAAATTACCACAGACACACTTCTGGAGGCCAAAAGTCCTAAATCAAGGTGTTGGCAAGAGTTGTTTCTTCTGAAGGCTCTAAGGGAAAATCTGTTCTATGCTGCACTCCTAGCTTCTGGTGGCTGCTGGCAATCCTTGGGCATGTTAACAGAAATAACATTATTTTCTTAAACAGAAATATTTGGTGAGAAGAGTGACATTGTTTTTCATTTTTACCAATAGCACTAATACCTGACTTAATAGAAGATAGATGGATTTTCATATCTGCTTCTGTATTCAGCCTGTTGTGATATCACTTGTAACCTTTGGAAAACTCTACTGTGCACATGTGAGAAAACAAGAGTAAAAAGACTAATAATGACTTGGTATTATTATGAGAATAGTTTTGACCTCCAGACCCCCAAAAGCATCTTAGGAACCTCCAGCAACCTTGGGATTACTCTTTGAGAACGTTAGTATATGGTAATAGGCAGGAAGGCAGAGGATATGGTACAGAATCTGGTAGGTGGTACGTATGGTTGTTTGTGAGGGTTTCTTCTGATTGTTTCATTGTTTTCAGTGTAGTAGTGCAGTCGGAAGAATGAGGATGGGCAGATGTTAGGAGTTTAAGGAGAGATGAAAAATTGCGAAATATTCTATTTTATTGACTATATGAATAAAATTAATATAAAAATGACAATAAAGACACAGCATTATTTGGTCTACTACTAAGAAAAGAAAAAAATGCCAATTGATATTTGCCATTGATTAAGAGATGTATCCTAATTCCAGAGATGTTAAAATATAAAAAAAAAAAAGTCTGAGGACTAATGAAATACAGCAGCTGTCTAGGAAAGTGTGAGAGTGAGTGGACTCCAGAAGCATAGCATGATGGCCAGGCAGCAGTAAGATTCATGGCCATACATATAAGCCAAGTAATTCTCAAACGTCTTTTTCTGTAATTTTCTCGTATGTGTGCAAATACTGTGATCCAGCAGACGCTGGGAAGCTTGCTTTGGAATACTACCAGGAAAATCATCTTTTTTTCCCCCTGATTTAGCAATGAGAAAAAATATCATTGAGGCCCTTAGTAAAAATAAATAGAAACTCAAGTTCTGGGTTAAGAGAACCATTGTTGTTAGGTGCTGTTGAGTCGGTTCCGACTTCATAACAACCCTTTGTACCACAGAACGAAACACTGCCTAGTCCTGCGCCACGCTTACATAGGAGAACCATAGCTACCCATTTTTAATCTTCACCTTCCCTCTCTTCTCAGAAGAGTGAGAGAAAATACTTGAAGGTGATATAAACCCGTATCACACCTTTACCTTCAAGCCATTTTTTTCTTTGGCTTCTAACTCCACCCTTTGGGTAAAGAATCTTACTCTAAGGAAATATAAATCCTTTATTTGACTAATCATTGCTAAGAATAATGAAGGAGGCCCTGAGTACTTGTCAGGCCTGAGTATGTTTTATGTCAAGTGTCAATTGCAGGATGATGAAATTTGAAGTTAGCCGTTTGCTTTTTCTGAACCATAAAATTAGTATTGACTTCACCTACAAGCTCTTTATGGGTTTTGGATCCTCATTGCAATATATTGAACCCAGACTTAAGGATTACAAATTCACATGCTCATAAACCCACCCCTGTACACAAATCTACATGTGTGAATAGCATATGTAAACATACACATATATTCATATATATTATTCTTGTTCTATTAACATGCCTGTTTGTACTCTTCAGTTCCCAAGGACCCGCCTTTCTTGCTCAATGAACCTTTCAATCTTCTCTTTTTCACTTCCAGCCATTTTTCTCATATAAAAGAAGAAAAAAACTCATTGCTGTCAACTCGATTCCAACTCATGACAACTCTATTTGTGTAGAGTAAAACTGTACTCCATAGAGTTTTCAAGGCTGTGACCTTTCAGAAGCAGATGGCCAGGTCTTTCTTCCAAGGCACTCCTGGATAGATTCAAACTGCCAACCTTTCAGTTAGTAGTTGATCGTTTAACCATTTGCACTACCTAAGGACTCCTTTTTCCCATATACCCATTACTCAGTGCCATCGAGTCGATTCCAACCCATAGCAACCCTAGGGGACAGAGCAGAACTGTCCCATAGGGTTTCCAAGGAGCAGCTGGTGGATTTGAACTGCCGACATTTTGGTTAGCAGCTGTATCACTTAACCACTGTGCCACCAGGGATCCTTTTCCCATATAGGAGTTTCCAGATATTCTCATTTCTTTTTCCATTTTCTTTAAACCCCAAGCTCTTCCACATTTATTTTGCCGTTGGTCTCAAATACGAGATCAGATGATCCAGTGTGTGCATCTTCAATTTTCCCTCTCTTCACCTTAGAATGTTTGTAGAATATCACTCATCTTCTTTAACTTCTTTTGTCAGAGATAAGTAGGTCCCCATTTCTCCAAACTTAATTTTTCTATTTTGTGCCTGTCATCTCCCTCCTGACTGCTCCATAACCTTATAAGCACTCTTCATAAATTGCTTTCTTGAAGGTCATCATTGATTGTTTCTAAATCTAATGGCCTCTTCTCATTCATTCCTTAATTCCACAGATAGATGAGAGATTGAAGAGCTCACAGTCTGGAGCAGGGATTGACAAACTTTTTCTGTAAAGGGGTAATAGTAAATATTTCAGGCTTTGTGGACCATAACATCTCTTTGCAACTACTCAACTCTGCTGTTGTAGTGTGAAAGCAGCCATAGACAATATGTAGATGAATGGGCGTGGCTGTAGTCCAATAAAACTTTATTTACAAAGACAGGCAGCAGGCTGGATTTGGCTTGTGGGCCGTAGATTGCCCACCCTGGTCTAGCCTGTAATCTTTTTGATCTACATATAATATTGATTACCATTTACCACCACCTTTTGAAACTCCTTCTCTTGAGTTCTGGAAAGTCATAGTCTCTAGTACTCCTCCTACATCCCTGAAAGGCCATTCTTCGTGTCTTTTTTCTGCATTTATCTACTAGGTTGGTGTTTCTCAAGGTCCTGTTTTCGGTCCTTTTGTTTGCCTCCTCTAAACTGCTTTGACAATCTCTTCTTGTCTCATCTCGTCTCATCTGAGTTGCTCTCCATCCTGACAAATCTCCTGAATCCATTCCTACACTCCTGTCTGCCTGTTGGATGTGTCTTTGCCCAGCTGAACCACCAATGCCTCACACTTTGTACAACTAACTATGAAGCCATTATCATTTTCATCTTCCTAGCACATCCGCTCTTCCTTATTCCTTCTTTCTGATTATCTATTTGATGAAGTTGTGATAATACACGTAAAGCACCAGCATAGTATCTGGCACACGGGGAGGCCATCGATAAATGTTAATTCCCCTCTTTGTCTTAATAACATCGGTGTTTCTTTCACCTGATTTGAAGCCTTGGCAATATCTTTGACCCCTTCTATTTTGCACCACATCTGATAAGCAACTTAGTTCTTTTGTTTTTTTCTACAGTGTCTCTTGTCTGACTTCTCCTTTTCATTCTCACCACCATTTCCTAATTTAAAGCACTCTATCAGTTAGGAGTTGCGTTTTCCTGCACATAATAATAACAACAAAAACAAACTTACATTAGCTTAACCAAATGGAGGTTTTATATTCCTCATGTAATACAAAGTCTGCAGGTAAGCAGGTTGGGTTGGTATGAAGGTTTTCCAATGACATCAGGGACCTGACGTCTCTCTCCTCTCAAATATCCTTCGCAAGTAGCTTTTGTCCTCGTGCTTTTCATTCTGTGGTCACAAGATGAATGTTCTGTCTCCAGCATTGCATCTTATTCCAGGCAGGAAGAAGGGAAAGAACAAAGGCTAAAATACCAAAGGGTAGGTCTTAACATGTGTTCCATGTTTTTAAAGGGTTTTCCCAGAAGCCCTACCTGGTAACTTCTGCTAACATCTGATTGGCTGGAATGTATCACACGGCCACTCCTAATTGCTGCACCAAACAAAATTAGGCCTGTCTTAGGAAGAAAGAGAGGATGAATATTGGGCAGGTAACCACCAGTGTCTCCCATACTCCCATTATCACTTACCTTCTTTTTTATAATAGCTCCTAACTCATCCTCCCACCCCCACTCTGTCTCTTCCTTAATCCATTTCATACATTGTTGCCAGACAATCATCCCAGAACTTGGCTTTTAATTCATCATGCTACTTTTAAGAGGTTGCCATTATTTCCAAATAAAAGTCTGAAGTTCTTAGTTTGATCTTTAAAACTCTCCATAGTATGGCTCCAAATGAGCCCCTAACCTAGAGTTCTAGCCCACCTTTCAACACACTCTGCACTCCAACACAGACAGGTTTATTGTATTAACCTCAAACATTCCTGCCTTCATGTCTTCTCTCAGGCTGTTCCTGTTGCCTGCATGCAGTTCCTTTATTTCATTCTGCATATTCAAGCCCTCACATCCTTTGAGACCTAGGTCAAATGCCACCTTCTCAATTCAGCTCTTCCTGATCCTCCCATCCTCTCTACCTCTCTTAAATACCAAACCAAAAACCCATTGCTGTCGAGTCAATTCCAACTCATAGCCATCCTGTTGATAGTACTGGTCAGTTCTTCCTTCTATTAGGGATTTTAAAGTCCATTCGTAAATCTCCTACTAGAGAGCAAGTTCCTCACAGGATCTTTGTTATACTTAACAGTTTATTCTGCTCCTCTGCAAAAGTTATCACTGCGCCTTAGTTCAATAAATAGTTGCTAGATGCGTGAATTAATCTCCTACCAGGACTGTCAAGAGAACTTTGTTAGAAGCTAACATTTATTGTATGTCTACTATATGTCAGGCGCTAAGTGCTTTATAGGTAATAACTCTTTTAATTTCCAAAGAATCTTTATGAGGTGGCTTCCTTTAAAAACTCTCATTTTACAGATGAGGAAACTGAGGCATACAATGGTTAAGTAATTCATGCAAGATCATGCAGCCTCTAAGTAGCAAAGCTTAGATTTTGCACCAGGCAGTCAGGTTCCAGAGCCCATGCTCTTAACTACAATGCTGTTCTGCCTCTCACTAGAGAGAAACACCAAGAAATCTGAGATATTCTTCTTCAGAAAAGACTCCTCTCCTGACAACTTGAAACCCTCTGGGCAAGTGACTGCCTGTGCTGAGAGTGGACTTACCTCCCTCGGGGAGAAGGGGAGGTCCTGGATCAAAGATCAAGAGCTAAGGTCAGGCCAGGGGTCAACAGGAAAGCCTTGCTATTGCATGACCACACTTTAAGCTCTGACACACTGTTGATATGTAAGAGTTTCCCATCACCAAAAAGAAATATAGTAAAAAAGGAAGAACAGGACTGCAGACTGTTTGCTTTTTAAGAAAATAAGTGAACTCCACTCAGTGCTTGCTAAGTGGAGGACTTCGTCAGGACTTTGCATGTAGTAAAATATTCTAAGACAAAACTGAAGACTGTGACATCCTTCTTACCTATGGGAGATTAGTCACCCTATAAAACTTTCATCTGATTTTATGGAAAATAAAGGTAGGGTATTGGAAGGCTTGGCCGAGTTCTTACCAAGCATGCTGGGAGCCCCAGGCTTCTCTGAGCCCAGCTGCCTCCCAGTCAGCAGCCCCTGTTGAAGATAACCAGCCACTTAGTCCCTGCATTTCCTTGTTGATTGATGGGAACAAAACTTTACCCTGAGACTTGCAAATCTTCTCCAGGTTGGGCCCTGGGTTGGGTCTGGTGATAAACAAAGTCAGGGCTGTAATTTTAACTAGCTTCTTCCTTAAACAGTACCACCTGTTGCAGTCTGTCCATTCACTCCATCTCGCTCCAGGACAGCAGATGCCATGGGCATTTTCTCTGTTGTATGAAGGGGAAATGGGTGTCTGGCGTCTTCAGAGGAGGGGGAGTTATCTCTTTCAAAAAGAGATTGGATGATCACATCTTAACTTTATAAGCTCCATCGCTCTAACTCCTGGGAACACCTGAAGAACTGAAGCTTGGCTGCTTTCTGCTGCTAACATAGCTTCTGACAGTCATTCATGATTTAGTGTACATGATTGGAGTTACACCCATCAGATAAGAATAGTCTGCTTCTGTAATAAACAATGCCCAAGAGCATTTAGATACTGTGGATTTTTATAACAATTTTTATTGGTTTTGTCTTACTACAAAAATAACATATGCCCAGAAGAAAAAAAAATTAGGGAGTATAAATTTAGGAGCTAGAAATAAAGGGATTTTAAAAAATCCCATAACCCAGAGATGACTATTTCAAATATTTTTTAAATTTGCGTAAAAATGGGATCTACCACCTGTCTGTTGGTTTTTCATACTGTGGTGGCTTACATGTTACTATGATGCGAGAAGCTATGCCACCGGTATTTCAAATACCAAGAGGGTCATCCATGGTGGACAGGTTTCAGCAGAGCTTCCAGGCTAAGACAGACGAGGAAGAAAGGCCTGGGGATCTACTTCCGAAAATCAGACAATGAAAGCCCTATGGATCACAACAGAATCTATCCGATATAGTGCTGGAAGATGAGCTTCCTAGGTTGTAGGATCATGAAGGTGGCGCAGGACCAGGCAATGTGTTGTTCGGTTATATGTAAGGTCATCATGAGTCAGAGCCTACTTGACAGCAACTAACAACAGCAACATCTAAATGGGATAATTCTGTGAGACTATTTTACCTGCTTCTTTAACTTAATATTATATCACGAACATTTATGATATCGTGAAATGTTTTATGTAGCACTGATAATTTTTCTGAGTAGGTATTACATTCACATGGGACATATACGAAGGCATCAGTGAAAAGTTTTGCTCCCACTCAGTCTTCCATCCACCTAGTTCTTACCCTCCACACCCCATAGGTAACTACTTCTTTCATTAGTTTTTTGAATATCTTTTCAGTTTAATTCAGAGCAAATTTAAATGTGTTCTTATTCCCCCTACAACTTTTACACAAAAAGTAGCATTCTGTACGTACTTTTGTTCCTTGCTTTTCTTACTAACAGTATATCTTTCTTCTCTTTCTGCAGCACTGTCAATAATTGGCTGAATTACTGTTATATTACCTGATTGTAGTATATATTATTTAACTAATTTCCTATTTTTTGGCCATTTTTGGATATCCAAAAATAGCCTGATAGATCGATCTTTGTATGCAGCCCAGGATACATTATTTAAAATTGTTTGCTGGGCTTTTGCTTCATGTTTCCAAATTGTTCCAGAAAGGTTATGCCACTTTACACCTTTCCCAGCAAGGGTGGCCAGTAGGTAAAAAGAGGAAATAATGAAAAAAGGCTATTTGTAATGGTGAACTTTTGAATATTATATACAAGAAAAAATCAGAACAGAAAAGCAGTGGTGGATTGTGCAGGAGAGGGTTTCAATGTGAGGTGGTTGGGCATACTTGAAAGAACATGTTGGAACTGGATTGAAATGTGAGTTCTGCTCTCTGCCAGGAGATCTGAGATAAGCCAGTAAGGTCTTTGAGTCTGTTTTCTCATCATCAGAAAAAGGGGGAGTGCTTATTGAGTTTGTCTGGGTCCCCCTTTTGTTCCAAAAGGATTTAAGAAGCTGAAACACAGGGGAGGCTTTTCCAACTCTAAAATTCTTTAGTTTTATAACTGTACCTTCATGTTGGAAACCCTGGTGGCGTAGTGGTTAAAGCTGTGCTTTTAACCAAAAGGTCAGCAGTTTGAATCCACCAGGCACTCCTTGGAAACTCTATGGGGCAGTTCTACTCTGTCCTGTAGGGTCAACTATGAGTTGGAATTGACTGGACAACAATGGGTTTTTTGGTTTTAACGTCATGTTCAGAGGAAATAAAGTTTGGGCTTCCATAAACTGTGGTTGTGTTTTGAAGGGAATGCTCTCCCTCTTCTTCATGCTCTGGGTTACTAATCTCTCTTCATTGCAGTAAATGCTAAGTCTGGACTTCTCACTGCACCACACAGAGCAGTCTCGTAACTTCCATAGAAAACCTTTCACAAAATTCAGTGAATTGGAAGGGAATGGTAACACTACAAGAGACTCCTGGCTGCATAGTTATATATATATGTCTGTATATATGTATATATGCATGTGTGTGTGTGTTAAAAAAAACCTCAGACATTTATTTTTAGATGGTGTAACATTAACCTGCAACAACATTAAGAGACAATCATGTGACTTCTGCTGACATCAGACTTGGGATGGTGGTGGTGGTAGATTTGGCCCCTTGCAGTGCAGTGATTTAACAGATGGCAGATGGGGAAGCTGAGCTTCAGTTCAAAAACTGCCGCCCAGTCAGGCCTTCCTGATGTGGCTGGTGGTCAGCCATCGGCCAGCTTATGCAGGCAAGTGCCTAGTTATCGGTCAGTTTAGCAACAAAGCTGTCTGTCATGAGAAGTTTCCCTGATTCCACCAAGTGAGAACTTTGGACACTGAGATAAGACTGATCAAGAATAAATACCACGTCCAGTCATTTCCTTCCTTTCTCTACAGCAAGCAAACTGAAGAGGATCCAGGCACAAAGGAACTGGAAGCATTAATAGACACAATCCAGAAGCAACTGAAAGACTATTCATGTAAAGACAACATTCGTGAGGCATTTCAAGTTTATGACAAGGAAGCTTCAGGATATGTGGACAGAGAGAAGTTCTTTAAAATCTGTGAATCTTTTAACATCCCAATTGATGACTCCTTGGTTGAAGAGGTCAGTATAAGGAGTTGGTTGATTGCAGAGGATGAGCACCATTCACTCACTCTTAAAGGCAATTGATGTGTATTTCATTTTGATTGGGGGTGATTTAGGATGTTCAAACCAGATATCCTATCCTGATTACGGTATTTCCCCTTGATTCTAGCATGCACATCATTTTTATAACTGCTATCCCAGGACAGAGAACAAAAATCTCTCTCTAAGTGGACATGGGGCTAGACAGCACAGAGTGGTTGTTAGACCAAGATATCAGGGCTGAAGGAGGGGAGCAGAAGTGTTTCTGGAGAGGAGCTGCCAAGGGGATGAGCAGGATGGGTGGTGGGGTGCCTTTGGCACCCTTTACAGCGAATACCTGAGATAGCACATCAGTGCAGCTAGCATGGGAGAGTGTGACCACTGCCCGAGGCAGCGGAGTCTGCTCAGTGGGTTAGCATGGCCAGCTGCAAATGTAGGAAACAAAAAACCAAACCCATTGCCATAGAGTCGATTCACTCATAGCGAGCATATAGAACAGAGCAGAACTGCCCCACAGGGTTTCCAAGGAGCGGCTGGTAGATTTGAACTGATGACCTTTTGGTTAGCAGCCGATCTCTTAACCACTGCACCACCATGGAAATTGTCCTTCTAGGATTTTCATGGGTGAGTTGAAGAGTGATTTTTTTGCCCCTTCCTCATTATAAACCTCTCTAGCCAGGGTTCCCTGAAAGCCAGAACAAAATCTCTCCCACAGTTGCCAAGGACTCTGGCTTACTATCATTGAGACATTCTCACAGATTAAAAATACTGAGATGTTGTAGACTTTTTTAAAGATCTTTTGAGGGAAAGGGGGTGCTCAGAAGTTAAGACTCATTTAGGGAAGGCATTTGTTTAGAGCTAGAATGACTAGGTTGGAAGATTCTTCATAGATAGGAACATTAGCGAGGGGTTGTGGGGTGTGGGGGAAGGCAGATAAAGATGGAAGGGTATTTGTTCATGTGAGCCAAACACCTGTCTAGCTTCCCAAGCCTCAAGTGACAGCATGCTCAGCTTTTGATTCTCAAGTCATTCATGCCATCTGTGACCTGACACGGGAGGGTGGAGTGGCAGCGGTGGGGAGTGGGGCTGGGAAAGGGGTGGGCCGGGCGCGTTTGCACTTGTCTCATAAAGGAAACGGCTGCAAATCTGTTACTACTCAGAGTTGTCTCGGGACAGTTTGACATAACTAGATATTTCTATTAGTCTGTGATAACAAGAACTTACTATTTTACGAGTTTTACTCCACACAGACTAGGTGGAGAAAATCTTGTATTTGCATCTAAAAACAATTAAAAGTGCTTTGAAAATGACAGTGCCCTTTAGAAATACGAACGTTAGTCCTGAAATCTTGGGCAGGCCATTTATTCCTCCTGACCATCCATCTCATCAAGTGTAAAATGGGGATAGTGTCTGACCTACCTATCAGGTTCACAGGATCATCTCAGAATCAACTGAGGCTATAAAAACCCTGAACTGGTTCCAAACACCTGGCATCATTATGCATAAGCGCGCTCTGCAGTTGAGCTGAAGGCAGCCCTGCATGTCTGTCTCACCTCTTTGCTCTCTTCTGCAGTTAATCAGGATATGCTCTCACGAAGAAGGCAAGATTAACTACTATAATTTTGTTCGTGCTTTCTCAAACTGAACTGGCTGATGGGAGAATGAAATACGAATATTTGAAGTTGGACCTACACTTCGAAACCTACTTTGTGCTCTTTATAGGGTCATTTACAGAGCTCCTGAAGTTAACATTTCTCCTTTTGGTTCTTATATTTCACCACTACTGAAGGCTAAATAAAATGGATCTTATAGAATCTCAGAATGGTGCCTTCTTTAGGGAGGGGCACAGTAGGGATGGTGAATGATTCAGAGCAGCAGGAATGATAAAACTTGCTACAAGCATTTTAGGGGCTGGAAAAAAGCGGACAGTACTGGCTGTTGCTGCTAGCCAATTGCTACCCACCCAGCCCCAGTACTGCAGGGAAATATACCACATATTTTTCAAACTGTGGTTCTGGATCCACTAGTAAGTAGACCTGCATTTTAAAAAATAGAATAGACAGTATCAGAGTGTGGTACACATAGTAGGGTATGTATTCTTTTTCATGAAACTTGTTTCAATTATTTGTGCATTTACTGAGTCATCATGTAAAATGTATTTCTTGATGTGGGTTGTAGCTTAAAAAAAAAAAAGGAAAATGCTGCTTTTAGAGGGCCTGGCCTTGAGATAGGAGGGAAGGACTAGTAGCACTTCCTGGTTATCTAATGAGCTCTGAGACTTTCTAGAACCAGTGCTGCTCCTTACAGGTGAAATCAGGCACTATCTTCATCTTTATAAATGTTCTGTCACATTCCTCCTTGCTACCCAGAATGTATAAATGAGGGAGTTCTACAGGATACAGGACTCCTGGGCCTCTCAAACTACTGGAGAATTTCCCTCGGTTTTTCCTTTCCTAATGAGCTAAGCCACCTATAATCAGCTTATTTAAAGGGCTAGAAATGTATTATGTTGACTCCCTCTTTTCTGCCCTAGGTTGGTTATCTCCGGAAGAGCCATGTTATTTTTTTTGTCTCTGTATGTGTTTTTTGTTGGTTTTTTTCTCCAGTCACTCAACTGTTTTTAAAAGTCTCATTTTCAAGTATTTAAAAGTCCATTTCAGTCTAAAATAAATATACTAAGCTCTATCTGTAGAAGCAAGGATGGTGTTTGGACATGTTATCAGGAGGGATCAGTCCCTGGAGAAGGACATCATGCTTGGTAAAGTAGAGAGTCAGCGAAAGAGAGGAAGACCGTTGACGAGATGGACTGACACAGTGGCTGCAACAGTGGGCTCAAGCATAGCAATGATAGTGAGGATGGCACAGGAGCGGGCAGTGTTTCATTCTGTTGTACACAGGGTCGCTATGAGTCGGAACTGACTCGACAGCACCTAACAACAACAACCTTCCTGCATAAGGAGACCTGGTAGCGCAAACGTTAATCATTTAGCTACTAACTGAAAGGTTAGCGGTTTGAACCCACTCAGTGGCTCCAAGGAAGAAAGACCTGGTGGTCTGCTTTTGTAAAGATCATAGCCAAGAAAACCCTATGGGACATTTCTACTCTGTCACGCGGGGTTGCTATGAGTCAGAACTCTACATACAGCACCAACAACAACATCCTTCCTGCCCTAGGCTTGGAACCCAGTAGTGGTGTGTGCATACCGCACTCTCCAATATTTTCTCTATCACCCTTGCCTCCCCTGGAAGAGGAAAATTGGCAAAAGCTTTGGTCCCCTTCTCAGTAAGTCTTCCATGGATCTACACCAATCTGCAACGTAAGGAGGTGCTTGCCGATTTTTGTCCTCAGCTTTGGGCCTCAGCTGAAATGAGACATTAGGAAAAAGTCTCATCTGACATCCTTTTACCCACCCCTGGTAATTCAAGTGCTCAAAGCCCTGCTAACAGTTCTAACCATTCATCTCCTTTTGTTCTCTGATAAAATTTCCACTAGATAAAATATAGGTTTCTTTCTACTGAATATTGTGGGGACTAGTATTAAAACGTCAGCCTCACTGTAATTGTTAGAAGCGCCTCAGAGAGAGCTGTCTTGAATAAGGTTGGCACCATTCAGGTATGTTCTTTAAGCTTGCTGTCCTGCCCCTCACCTTGCACCCCACTTCCAAGTTTACCCAAGAGTGAGATGTTTCTAAAAGCTTGCAAGCGGCCATCCAAGGCACAACAATTGGCCTCTATTTGCTTGGAGCAACAGAGGAAGGAGAGACAGCAACAGAAGGACAGGGAATGTGTGGCTAATTGCCTCCTTTGCCATGAGACCAGGACTGGATAGTCCCTGGCTACCATTATTAAACATTTTGATTAAAGATTCTATAGAAGCAGCCTGATCAAAGCGGGGAAATATAGAACAGAATTTCAAATTTCCATGGACTCCAGACTTTCCGGAGCCATAAGAGTTGGATAAGCCCCTGAAACTATTGCCCTGAGATAATCTTTAAAACTTAAACCAAAAATATCCCCTTAAGTCTTAAAAACCAAACAATAGTTCAGCTTAACTAGTAAAAAAATGTCTGTTTTGAGCATTATGCTCTTTTAAGATCTATATGGAATCAAAGTGACAACAGCAACTTGAAAGATAGAAACCTTAGGGGGCAATGAGTTTATGTTAATGGGGGAGGAACAACTCAGAAAAGGAGAGTGAGAATGGTTGTACAACCCAAGAATGTAATCAGTATTACTGATTTGTACATGTAGAAAATGCTAAACTGGTGTACGTTTTGCTGTATATATTAACAACAACAAAATACAATTAAAAAGGAAATTGAAATCTTAAGAAAGCATGAAAGCATACTGGTAATTCTAAATAAATATGGCATAAAGAGGAAAAAAAAAATGAGAAGTTGTGATGTGTTAGCACCATCACAAGGTATAAAAGCTACTTCCAGAATACCAAAACCAGCAGGTCATTTCTGTACTGTCTGCACTCGCTGCTCACATGTTAGCTTATACAAGGTGGCCAGCTGGTAGGAACAGCCAAAATCAGAGCAAATCACCTTTCCTACTGAAATCCTGAATGGTAGTGCAGCCATTAAATGTCACTAATTACCTTATTTATGCTAGAGTCAGACCTGCCATGCATCTGGAGCCTTGAACTCAGGTGATGGAAGTGAGCTGAGCATTATTAGCCTGCAGCAAGCAATATTGTGGGAAGAAGAAATGACCATCCCTTCAAGCCGGCTCAGGGAATTGAGACAGGAAGAGAAAATTAGCATCACTGTTAGCATTTACAGAGCCCTGGTGGCGCAGTGGTTGAGAGCTACAGCAAGCTATGACTGCTAAACAAAAGGTTGGCAGTTCAAATCTACCAGCCACTCCTTGGAAACGCTATGGGGCAGTTCTACTCTGTCTTACTGGGTTGCTATGCGTTGGAATCGACTGAATGGCAAGGGGTTTTTATTAGCATTTACAGTGGAGGCACACTAGAAGCTGCAGCTATTAGAGCTAACTTAAAAATGTGCATATGACTGTTTAGGGTGGCTTATGGATAGAGGGCTAGTAAAATCTGCCTTGTGGATGGGTGAAGATTGGCTGTGAGTAGCCACTGCTCAGAACCCTGGCCTGTACCTGTCTGCACCGCCAGGGGACCTTACAAATACCACTTAATTAGGGGTGCCTCCTACCCATATCTATATGCTCTGAGGGCATTTGGGACCAATAGGAAGGGAAGACTTATCTAAATGTCATTTCCAGAGACTCAAAGATCACTTGGGTAAGTGATTCCTGAATAGCTTGCTGACACATGGGTATGAACATGTTCATTGAAAAAAACCATCAATTTATTGAATGCTTTATTTGTACCTGACTTAGCATTCATTGTCTCAAAATCTCCACCCCCACCCCCACCCCCACCAAAAAACAAAAACAAAAAACAGGACATAGATGAGCAAACAGACTGAGGAAGGTTAACTGCTGGAAGTCATCTGCAAAACAGGAATAAAACCCAAGCTGGACCTTTAGTTAATAGCATGCACCTTCAACTCAAGTAAATGCTTCCAGTTTAATTCTCACACCCTGTAACCGCACTCGTCGTCAACAGCTCTTTCTCTGAAAATGGTTCTGGAAAATGCAGGAGAGCCTCCAGCAACAGCAAGCCATTAACTGACACCATCAATCCTCACTGCCCGCCATTTCTACTAATACTTGGACGTCTTCTGTTTAGCACCAACACCAGTATTTGGTGGCTTTTACACACAAACCAAACCCCATTACCTCCAAGCCAAATGACCTCATAATATAGTAGGTATCAAGCATGGTGTGCTTCCTTCCAGAGTTTCCTACCCACAAACCCCATGTCAAGAAAACCCCTTTCCAAAAAACAAAAAGAAAACCCCTTTCCACTTTTACAATTTACTGTTCTAGACTAAAAAATGATGCATATTATTATCCAGTCAATAGTAACTGACTTATATTACCCGATAGATAGTAACTGACTCTCCATCCTTAATTTTTATTCCCTAATTCCCATGGTCACATCACCACAATGAACAAATATACCTCAAAAGAGACACATGAAATGACTAACATGGTGAAAAATATTAAAAAGAAAGGCTAAAACTGATGCAAACTCATTTTTCTAGTAAAGCAAATGTAAGCATTCAGATTAAAAAACAACATTATATAAAATCATGCCAATGAATTATACCAAAGACGAGACGGATAATTCTATGCCTTTTATTCAGTTATTTCAGAAAATATTTGATGATCATTTCTTTCAAAATGTACATTAAAAAAATCCATACAAAACTGTAATTTGTTTTAAAACCAGACAGAAACAGTGGAAAAAGGATTTTGAAAAAATTTCACCAAAGGTAAAAAGACCCCCCACAACCCTTTACATGAAAGCATAAATACGGCAGATACAAATTTTCCTTGAGTTCCTTATGGAAATTTGGTCCATAACATGAACAGGCTAAAGTAGAACAACAAAAAGACAATTTGTCCACATTTGCATTATGAGTTGCTCAGGGGCACCAGCAGCCTCAGCTCATCCTTCAGGTGTTTATTACAAGAACTGAAAAATGAGGTTTATAGTCGCATCACAGAGCACTTGAATTTGTACCCACAGAAATGGCAGTATTTACAATCACAGCCAGATTCTACCAGATGAACAGGGCTATCCGTGCATGGCTGGTTTGGAAGAGAATCCCCTTCCTCTTCATGTGGACAAGATACTCTGGAATGCTTCTAGGCAGAGTGATGGTGACGCCAGAGGCATCACAATAGATCTCATTCCCAGATGCAGACTTAATGCCCCATCATGAGGATGTTTTTCCTTTTCAACAAGTTTTAAAAATATGTATGGACTTCTAAGAGGATGCTATATGTTCTACTAGAGTGCCACGGAAACCCACCCAGAACCATGAGAATGACAGCAACAAAGGGAAAGTTGACATTTCTTCAGCAAGGGATAAAGACTACCCCTCCCGTGGGTCCCATCTCTCCCCCAACTGCAGGGTGCCGCCAGGGACAGAAAGGCCTGTGGAGAAGACCACATGCTGGGGGAGTTATTGCACAGCCCGGAAGAGTGAGAAAAAGGCGGGCAGCAAAGGGCGGGGGAGAGAGGAGCTGTTGCAAGCGCATGGGTGGGAACACTGACTTGGGAGCTAGAAACAGTTCTACAACAGCCAGAGGCGGCCCATCGTCAAATGGGTTATCTGTGAGTTAACACTTGAGACTGGAAAGTGGAAGTAAACACCTTCATAATGCAAACTCTGGGTGGAACAGGAAGCAAAATAGATTAGAAGAGCTTACGATAAGGGCACCTTTTTTAATATGAGGGAGACTAGAAAGGGCACTTTTCACCGTGTGGGATCACAGACGGGAGCTCAATGCTGCTGTAAGCCTCTGTGCTTCCCTTAATAGGCAGCAGGTGCTTGAGGACAGGCCCCCTCACATGCTTCTGAAGCTACCCAGCCTGGCCAGAACTTAAACAAGGGAGAAACCAGAAACAAGACAGAGAACACCAGACCCTAATACCATGGTGAGGGGACGCTGAGATGAAATCGTCACAATCCACGTCCCTTTTACATGTAATTGTACTGAGGTATAGAGTCCTTCCTTGGCTGCCCATGACAGCCCCCCTGGAGCCGGGGGCTGGCCATGCAATACAAGTGAAGGCGGGAAGACCACATGGCCAAGAAAGGCACTTCTTAGCAAAAAAAAGAATAAGGACCTTAGGATAAAAACTCA